TAAGAGATAACATCATGACTTTTGAATTAAACTTTTGCTTTAGCTATCTAAGACATGAGTCATATGCATAACTAATCGACAAGAATTACATGCTATATACTTAGGTTGTTATCATGATATCGATAGTACATGAAATGCATCAACTAAGTTATGAAACTCATACCATTTAATATTGTTACGGTGTCTTGTGTCTAACTTTTGAAGTCAAGTGTCTTCGTTGTCAATCGGGTGTCATCGAGCGATTGTCACTAGATCTCGATGTTGGATTCGTGCGTCATGATGTCGAGACGGTGATCATCCTCGTATTGTCAACGGAAGTGCTTTGGAGCGCATATGCAACAACACATGAAATGACAAAGAAACATATGAATTCATTAGAACACAAGCGACATGGGTTACATGCAAAATAATTATATGAAAATAAAGCAAAGTGATTGGATAGGTATTCCCTGTGAGTTGTATTGAACATGCAAGTCACGAATAACATTCATATGACATTAGATCTTCGATTGAAGAGGTAACTTGCACTCGTGTTACTTTCGTCACTCGACTGTTCATCGACGTCGGAATCTGATGACGCTACTCGAGTTACTGTCGTGTCTTAGCTTGACATCGCGTCTCAACTCACTGTCGCGCGTCGGGATATGATGATGCATCTCAACTTACTAACGCGCGTCGAGATCTGATGACGCGTCTCGACTTGAGTCGGATCTGATGACGCGTCTCACCTCACTGTCGCGCGTCGGATCTGATGACGCGTCTTGACTTACTATCGCGCGTCAGAATAATCATGGTATCAAGTTCAAGTGTAAGGGTACTAGCCCCCAACTATTGTTGTTGCAACATGTGGTTTAAGTTTCTTGTACTTATCTCCATTAGGTTTGTTCTGGATGCCTTTAGGATAATCCTATGTCAAACTCACAATAATGCAGACGTTAATAGATAATGGACATAGCATATGCAGACATCTTAGTTGTGGTCGAAGTTTCCGTCTCTACGACTTTGATGTCAAATCACCATGTTGCTATTATATACTTTTGTTACCACCAACCCTATGACATGTGTCGCACGTGTGGTCCTACACACATTGCAAAAACATAACAATATTAGAAAAATTTACTTTGATATTTAGGAGTTTACCTCTCATGCACTACGCATGATGTTGTGTAACTTATCGTTTTTGGCATGATCATTGAGTGTGTTTGGTATCATTTCTATCTTGGTGATGATTAACTTAAAGTCATCAGAATTTGGTCCTTATGATCTTTGATCCTGTCAATTTATTTTATCTCAAAAACACTAGACATAGAGGTTAGTCATTACAAACATTGAGAAATTCGTAGGATAGCAATATGATACCAAACTAGCATCATGAACCAAGATTAACATAAAATATAATAATGTTGAATTCATGTATGTCAAAATAAGTAAAATATGACTTATATGATCACTTTCAAGGGGGAAATAATGTCGTTGATGTCTGACGTCGTAGTCGAAATCGTTGCAGCGACAGAAAGAAGACAGTATCTGCATGAAACTTTCTAGAGGCGTACTTTTAGCTCCGAACTCTAAATTGAGTGATTCTTGAGCCTAAATTCACTATATTTTCAAGATCTACAACTTTTCAGTTGCAATAGAGGGATAAAAACGAATGCAGGTCATGAAAACGTAAGTAGACAGAAGCAGACCGAAAATGGTTAATATTGGAATAATGGTAGTGTGGTGTAGCACCACGACTATAAGCTTTTGTGTTTAGAGAATATTTTGTGGAAATGTTTTTGGCTATAGAAATAGAATCTAGTTATCGTCCCCACAGACGGCGCCAAACTGTTAATGCCAAAAATCGTCGAGGAACGACCTTTGGTTGGGATACCGATAACTAGATAAAAAGGGGGGTTGCGAAATGTAAACAATGGAAATAGAAAGAAAAAAGACACGATATGGTGACGCGGAAAACCCCAATGAAGGTGGGTAAAAACCGCGGGTGGCTACTTGTCCACCAATTCACTATGATACGGGCGTTATAGCCATTATTGGTACAAATACAACGATAACTCGGGCGTCTAAGGCCATAGATGGTAAAGAAATAAATAAGAACAAGAGTTAAGTATACATTAGAGCTATTGAGAAGATATATAAACGTTGAATCAATCGTTGTAGCTCGTAGAACAATCGGATGAGACTTGTCATCGTTTAGATCGTCGAACGGAGCCTCATGATGTATCTTTTGATGATGTATCTTGTAGTGTATTGTAATACCCCCGATTTACTAGTTAATAATAAACAATAAATAAAGGAAAAATAAACAACCTTTAAATAAAGTTGCGGAAGCATATTCCTAAATCGAAGGTATTACCGTCACACTCGACAACCTGTCAAGTGTTAAGGCTTACAAAATTCCAATAATTACAACCCAATAAACTAGGTGAGCTATTTATACAACTTTATAAACTTGTTATAAACAAACTAATCGATCACTTGAGCTCCTTTAGCTACGATCACTTGTTCAACCTGTTTAGACGAACTTGACTGCTCACCATTAAGGACAAATTCCAAAATAGATCGTTGCAGGGCCACCATAAGAAAAAGACATGGCCGCAAACACAAGTAACAGAACAAAAACAAACACACACGTCAGCAAAAGCTGAGTAATCACCACATATCATAATATAGTGTATAATATAATAATTAACATTAATATATCAATTAAATAATGTAGTTCGAAACTACATTACACATTGTACTCTGAAAATAACCTCTGTCAACTCAACCTCGAATAATAACACAATCCTTCACTCAATTAACTCATAACCAATTAATGTGCCATGCTCTTTGTTTTATACCTAGCCTTGGACATGGGTAATTCGAATAACAAAACAACAAGTATAAAAACTTGAATACTCCCAATAACCAGAAAACACCTTGAACCAGACCACATACGGGCCAATTCCCACTTTAGGGGACCATAGAAAAATAATTAATAAAGATTGTACCTCATTCTTAACTTATGATCATTATCTCATTACCAACATGTCAACGACTAAGGTCTATAACGCCGAGCCTCAAACCAATAACAAAATAATTTTCAACATTTTGATTTCATACATCGATCAAGTAACCATTTACAAATTAATTAATAATATCTCAATAATGGCACAGGTTCCCAAAAAAACATAAGAATTCGATTCAAAAACTTCTCAACTCTTAGGAAAATAATACTAGTTCCCAAATATAATTAACTCACAACTCAAAAATAATACTCTGCATTAACAACCTTAAAACCTCAATAAAACAATACTCCCTATAACAACAACATTAAAGCCCTAGAAATAATTGTACAATCAATTATATACAACAAAAATAATATAATATTTAAATCAAATCAAATCATACAATATCATAATAGTTAATCATATATACAAGGATTACCATTAATAAATCATATCACATATAATAATAGTACAAAATATAATACAAACATCTCTATAATTTAGTGTGATTACCATACGGATGAATTCACTTCGGACTAGGGCAAAAAATAGGCTATCATAGGCTTTGATTTTACCAAAAAGAAAAAATATCATGTGGCTTCTCCATTGGTCTCATCATGATGTAACCATCAAACAAAACAATTGATATGATGATGGAAATTGTTGAATGAAAAAGAAAATTTAATGAAGAATCAAAGTTTTGGTATTAGTTAACATAAACCACGCACAAAAAACGAAAACCACTGCTCCCTTTTTTTTTTATTTTTCTAAAATACAATAACTTTATTAGGGTTTAAGATAATTTATAGTTCGTAAATAAGAGTTCTACTGAACATAAAATAGGAATTAAAAATTATTTTATTTATTTTTCCATAAAATATATTTTATAAAATCGTAAAATATCTGGGTATTACACTCTACCCTCCTTAAAACAAGTTTCGTCCTCGAAACTTAAAAAAGAGAATTCTAGGGTATTACAATCTACCCTCCTTAAAAAACAAGTTTTGTCCCCGAAACTTAAAATAGAAAATTTTAGGGTATTATATTCTACCCTCCTTAAAACAAGTTTCGTCCCGAAACTTAAAGTAGAAAGTTTTAGGGTATTACAATCTACCCTCCTTAAAACAAGTTTCGTCCCGAAACTTAAAGTAGAAAAAAAATTTGTAAATTTGAAATAGAGTAAAAACAAAACCAAACTTTTGCTTATAAAATATATAGATAGAGTACTAAAATATTAGGGGTATTACACTCTACCCTCCTTAAAACAAGTTTCGTCCTCGAAACTTAAAAAAGAGAATTCTAGGGTATTACATGTATACTTATGTGGTGTTTTATGCTTGGAATATGATATGTATGATCTTCCTTAATGGATGGTCGTTGCTCTCCTTTTATAGGCCATTAAGTGGTAGAAAATCGGTTGAGGAAGATAAGGATGACTTCCTTGATTTTAGGAGGTTGTTTGTTGACTTCAAGACTTGGTCCCTTGAAGAATGCATATCCATTGTAACAACTTCATTGAGTGGTTAAAGGCTGCCAGAAATTCTCTCCTTGATTATAGGATCCACTAGTAACAACATCGACTTGTTCCGCAGTTTATGGCGTCGCACTGCGAGACGCGTTATGGTTGGACGGGCGTAGCGTCAGTGTCATCTTCAGACGTCGTATGACTGAAGGACGTCAGAGGTCATTGGAGGTCGACGGAGGTCACTGAAGGCCGTTAGACTTCGCTGTAGTTTGTCGGCCGTCAAGTATTGACGTTCGTCACTAAGGTGCGTCGTCACTAAGGTGCGTTATTGACATTTGCTATTGCTTGGAAATGAACGTTAGTTTCCTTGGCATTCCCCATCTTATTCAACCTTGAACACCAAGACTCGTCTAACCTACGGTCGTCTTGGTCGTAGGACAACACTAAGGACTTTACTTTGTGTCGTGAGAATTTCGCCCATAACAGTAGCCACATTGTACCAGTAGTATCTTGAGCAATGTTATACTAGAGAGTAGTTACCACAGTAGTAACAAAACTTCCTGTTGATGATGAAAGACTAAAGAGCAGAAATAGCAAAAATCTTTCTAATTTGTATTAGTGTATCGCATAATTTCTCCCTAAAGATCTTTGGTACAAAATTTTGGTGATGTACAACATTCAAAATGTAGCTACTTCTGGAAGAGAAGCAGTAGCAAAAAACGAAACCTATGTCTGAAACCATCTTTTAATCTGCTGCCTGGAACCTTGTTTTTCACCATCTGGTTTATCAGAACTCTTCTGTGAAAACTTGGATCTATATTGTTCAATCAGCACATCCAGCTTATCCACGCCATCTTGGCCTAAACGGTCTTTTTTATTGTTCCTATTTCTCTTCTTCATAATTTTCCCCTCAGGACCATCTCCTGTAGGATTAATTACCTTTCTCTTTCTGGACTGCTTATCATTTTGAATGGAGGGTTTTGATTGAAGAGCATCCACAGTTCCATTTATGTGTAGAAATGACTTATCATGATTTTGCTTCTTTTCTTGGTTGTATCTATCTTCACTTGCTCGGACTGGCTGATGCTTCTTTCTTTGATTCTCTTCAGTAGCAGCCTCATCAGCTGCTCTATTTCCTTTCACGTGTTTTCTGCCAGTAACCCGATTTTCTCTTGATTTTTTATCATCTGGTGATTTCCTTTTTCTGGAATTCTCTTCATTTGATTTGGTGGATGAAGTTAAGGTGTCATCATTTCGATCATCACCAGTTTTCTGCAGCTGGTCATTAATTTTTAAGCCTCTCTTCCGTAATGTCTGAACATTATCAACAGCAAACTCCACAATAGGACGATGCGAAGGGCCAAATACCTCTGTTTATGAAAAAAATACCAAATATGAATAAAGCATTCTAAGGCATTTATTCAAATCATGAAGGGCATTCTTAAGGCATTTCTTTGAATGTTGAATGAGGCGTTTCTTAAACCACATCACTCAAATTATATGAATGAGGCATTTCCTCAACCACATAAGAAAAAAAAAAAAGCAACTGCAATCTCAGGAAAAGAAAAATCTCTGACAAATTATATACTGCTCAAGTAATTACCAGGATTGTTGTTAAGCACTCTTAATGTCACAATAGCATGTTGATGCTCTGCAAACTCCACAAAAGCAACTCCACGAGAATGATTTTTCACCTTTCCATTCTTAACATCACTAAGAAACTTTATCTGCACAGCAGATTCAGAGTGCAAACAACTTTAGTCTAAAGCAACAGCGCAAACAAAGATATGCCAATAACAATGAGAAACACACAAACCTGCCGTATCACAGGGGTCTGCTTTGAAGCTTTGGAAACAACAGCATCAATGCAGAGTTTTTTCAGTTGTTTTGGAGTCATTGACTTCGGTAAATTGTATATTACTAATCTTGTTTTGGAAACATGAAAATTTGGTGATTTAAGTTTAGTCATTTTTTTCTGATGCAACCTGCACAGGATCCAACCACCATCAATATAAAATTGAAGGATAATAATGACATGCAGCAAATGCTGGCAAAATAGCAGCCAACAAATCTGCCTTGATTATCCTTCAAATAAATGACCACAATCTCTATAATCAAGCAAAAGTTGAAATTTAAAGAATTCCTTTGTGTAATCAAATCTAACTCCAAGCATATTGTCAATTCACAGGTCAACTATGCTACAGAAAAATTTTGCAGGGTTGCAATAAAAGGCTTCTTTGCTGGTAGCTTCAGTGACTGAAAGCTCAAGACTTCTTTGCTGGTAGTAAAGGTATTGTGTTTTCTTATCCTATTACATAATAGGACAGGAGGCCCATATAGCACATTAATCATAACTGCCTAAATGGTAACTACTAACTAGGATGTGAATCCCATTATTCAAAATAAATTTAACTTCTAAATATTACTAGGACTTACGTTTGGCGTTTTTCCAAATCTTCCACTGAAATCCCTTCTGCGGCAGGAGTTCCCTCAACTATCAGACCCTCCTGTACAAACCACAAAACAATTCTGTTCAATAAGCTTAAACAGTCTGTACAATATTTTTAGCCAAATAACACAATAGCAGATGGAACTCTCAAATATGCTTTCAAAAACACTAGCCAAGAAGAAATGGAAGGAAAGACAGACAAACCTTCGCCAGGTAAAGGTTGCGGTGGTCTTCAATCTCTTTTTTGGAATCCTCCAATGCTTTTTCATCAGCTGATTTCTTGTCCAGTGCCTTAAATACCTTCAACTGCCTTCCTTTCAGAAAGATTCCCAGACCAGGTGCAGCACTTGCTGCAGATACTGCTGCATCAGCTGCATCAATCGTTTTAAATTTAAGGAATCCAGTTCCTCTTGGCCGCCTGCACATATAAGAATGATTATATGCATCATATATATATATATATATATATATATATATATATATATATATATATATATATATATATATATATATATATATATTACCTCATGGGAAGAAAGATGCAAGAAGATATATGACCATACTTGGTAACGGGATGAACAACAGGAAAGAATGATTGGATTTTTCCAAAAGTTGCGAATCGTTGTTTTAATTCTTCAGGATCAAGATCAAAAGGAAGATTGTTTATGAAAACTGTTCTTGAAAGATCATCTTCCTCATTGACAGATTTAGTGGGTTTGACTCTCGCTTTTTCATCCTTAGTCTGGATTGTGTGTTCAGGTTCTACACTGTTGCCCAAGTTGACTGCCTTGGCAGGTACTCCGTCATTTGAACCATTGTTTAAAGAAGATTCCGTCACGGAGGATGTAATAACATTTTGAAGGACCTTTCGTGCTAATTCTGCTTCCTCTTCAAAAGTGATTGTGGCTTCCTTTTCTTCATCTGAGTCAGATTGAGCTCCATCTGAGTCAGAGTGAGCTCCATCTGAGCCTTCAGTCTTTGTTGCAAGAGCCAAATCATCATTCTCCAATGCATAATCAGTGTCACTGTCAGCATCTTCATCAGCAGATTCTCCTATCAAATGTTACAAGTCATGTAAGAGAAAATTTAGATCCTACATAACTGCTCAACAGAAATTTATAAGTATCATGTACATGACCGCCTGGGTACACCTGCACCAAAAATCAACTAGAGTATGTTTTGCTCATTTGAGCAAAAAAATGACCAAACGAGCATAAAAAACTCTTGGGTCCACCCATACCCACCCCCACCCCAATTTAACAGCTCCAATAACAAAATTTGTTGAGAAATACAAATTATAGCTCTCCATTCCTCTCTCATCAAATAGGCCTTAAAAGGACTAAATTACCACCATCATATAAGCAGCGAGGCAAAGGAGGTTAAGTTCCTTAATTTATGATTCCAAACTACTCTATAATGTCATCTAGATAAGTATAGCATTACTGTATTCAATTGTCGGTCAACTACTGCCTTTTCCCCAGAGTTTCCACCTCCAAGCCCCAACACCTAAAAAGGGGGGAAAATAGAGAAAAGATAGGCAAGGAAAACACAACACGCTAAAAATTAAGAAAGTCTGCAGCTAACAGAATCTCCCAAGGCTACTGATATTACCAGGACTTATTTAGCTTATACTTAAGTCACCTTACTAAAGCCACCTTTCTCGCCACTCAAGTTTCTTATATGCCTCTCTCTCAAATCAGGAGAGAGTATAGAAATAAGACGATATAAAAAGTGATATATAAGAGAAAATTACCATATAATGCAACATCTTAGATAAGCGGCTAAAAATTTTTCAAACCCAGGCAGTTGAATAGAGAGAGGAAGAGGAATTACCATCATCTGAATCAACCATAGAAGTTACACCAGTTGTATAGAGTTTCTTTGGTACAGCCCAGTCAACAGCAATAGTTCTATTATTAAACTTTTTGCCATTGAACTTCAGAATAGCCTATGTGGAGGGAAAAAAAAAAAACATATATTCATACAAAAGACCCTCACAATTACCAAGCTAAAGGAAATTGAAACCAGATCAAAAGAACATACATTTTCAGCATCATGCCTGCTAGTAAATTTTACAAATGCAAACCCCTTGGCCAACCTGAAAAGGAAATTCAGTCATTTATGCAAACATAAAGAAGAGGATAGAATTTCCAGGTAATCCAGTCTGTTGTACAAAAAAAGCAATACCTTGTCTCTGGATTCCGAGGAATAAATACATCCCAAACAAATCCTGCAGCAGAAAAATGTTCATTTATCTCCTTGACTGTTGCCTGCTTCAGTGCAATAAACAAGTTTTAAATGCATTGCTTTACAAATGACGGTAAATATGGAAATTGCTTATGATGAATAAGAAAACCACAGTACAAAAGAATTAACCTTAAAAGGAAGGTTACGGACTATGACTTTCCACTTTTGAGCTTTGGAACCCTGAATAAGACATGCAAACCAATTAGAATATCATGCTTATTCAGTTATAGTCAACTAAATTATCAAGTAAATTAAATGACACAGAAAGGGCCCAAAAGAACAGTGAAGACATCATGATATTATGTTTAATCACACGGGGAAAATTTACAGTGCAAAGTAAACCTTCCTAATCCAGGCCTCCCACTCCTGCAAGTCACCTAATCTGCAATCTGCCTACTTATACCTTGATTTTGTTGGCAATTGTATATCTCTATATAATAATCAGTCATCTGTCGTATACTTGTATGATAGTCATCAATTGGACTTGATGTATGAAGTCACAGTAGCCACATTTTTTCAAATCACTTAGTACATTACAGCATTACTCCATACAATATAAGTAAAAACACTAGATAAGAGGACACAGTGGTTCCAAGACTGTTTGGACTTAAGACCTAACATGCCAAAAAAATCTAGATTATGTAGTTCACAAATCTTTCTAAAGTTCACAGTCTGCAGCTTTTCAGGTACTCAGCCATATGCCACATACAGGTTTCCAGCACTTAATCACTCTATCTTAACATGCGACTTGATATTGGGGAAACCATGCATCACATTTGAAATAACAGAAAAAGGCATGATTCATAATTGGGTAGCAAATCTAGCAATATGGGTTTACCTCTCCACCAAGTTGGCGTGCCCACACTGAACCTCCTTTGATTTCTTTTTGGTGCAAGGCTGCAACAGAAGCACGTGCAGATCTAATACTTGCATACAGCACTGCCGCAGCTTCCATCTTGCATCCATCTTGAGCAAGCCCTAAAACAACACCACACTGTTAATATCTGATTTTGAAGGCACAAAAGCAATTCAATTTCACAAGTGTTACAAGTCTTACAACAATAAAGCCCTATTGAATAGTTCAACATACAGACTACAGAGACTGCCTTTTCTTGATACGCACTTTAAATGTTAAGAAAAAAATAGCTAACAAACCAATTGGGGTGGGTCCTACAGTATTTATCATCTACCAATCCTAACCCTCCAAAAAAAATCTTGAATGTGCTTAGACAAACTAAAACAATGCAAGTCATGTTTGCTGCAACTTATCTCAATCTAGATAGCTTAAGCTCCATAAATCAAAATGGAGGGGAGAGAATGCAAATTTCAGTTACCATGGTGCTGAAGCTCTTCTTTTGGAAGTGGATATGTGACTGAACACACTCCATCAATCTCCCTAGCACGACGCAGGACCTCCTCTGCCATATCAGCATTTATAAGGCCTCCAAATATGACAGTTCTTGCAACCCTACATACATTTCAAATACGTATTTTTTCATGAAAAATTTCAGTATCATATTAGTAAAATACAAGTTAAAATTATATAATCAGATATGGACATATACCCTATGGAAAGTACACAATTTGCATAAACAATTAAACACAGCTATGCTGTACAAATTGTCCAACTGCTACATTCTCAAATATATATAATCAGCATATAATGCATAATTCTCAAAGCTAAATTTCCAAAATTAGAAAATAAAATTTGCAATTTAATACCTTTGTTTATCTGAAGATTTGCCAACTTCAATTGGACCAGCAGGGTCTCCCTTTGCTTTCTTTGGTGGCTTAAGTGATTTACCTATAATAAATACAGGTATGTCAACTTTGACGACTGGGTAACCTTCCACAAATAGGATTGAAGTGAACATAATGGAGCATATTGAATATCCTACCGATATCAGGTTTACTTGGAGGCTTAACAGGCTTTTCAGCAACATGAGGAGCACTATCCTTCTTATCTGTTTCCAATATAAATTCACGTATGTCACAATGACAAACAAGTGATTTACTCAAATACAAAGTAGGATGAAGCAGAGATGAAGGAACATTATCAATAGATGTATCGAAATATCCTACCACATTTACTTGGAGGCTTTTCTTTCTTTGCAGCAACATGAGGGGGATTGTCTTTCTCATCTGTTGTCACTACAAATTCAAGTATGTCATAATGACAAACAAGTGATCTCACACAAATAAGATGAAAGCAGGCATAAAGAAGCATTGCCAATATAAATGTATTGAAATATCCATTCCTACCTATTTCATGTTTACTTGGAGGCTCTTCAATCTTTGCGACAACATGAGGAGCTTTATCTTTCCCATCAGCTGTCATCACATGTTCAAGTATGTCACAGTGACAAATAGGTGATCTTACACAAATACGATTAGAGCAGACATAAAGAAGCGCAATCTATATATGTATGTATCGAGATATTGTACCAATTCCAGGTTCACTTGGAGGCTTTTCAAGCTTTTCAGCATCATGTGCAGCACTATCATCCTCATCTGTTGTCTTATCAGCATCATTCGATTCAGCTGCTGCTCAAGCACATAAGCAAGGAGATTCAGCATGACCGAGAGGAAAACAAACTAGAAACTACATAATCAGTCGATACTTATTCTAACCTAATTAAGTCACATTTTTATCCTCCTTTGTAAAGATGTCCATTTATTATAAATGAATATGTCAACGAGTCAACCAACCTGGATTAGTTTTAGCTCGACGTTGCTCCAACGAAGCACGATGAGAAGCATGTTTCACCACAATTCTCCGGCCACCAAGAGACGAACCATTTTTCATATCAATAGAACGGTCCGCATCCTCAGCAGTAGCACTGGGATCAAGTATAACCACATTAGTGAGTAAAAACAGCAAATGCATTAGTTCATATCACAACTGGAGATACATTCAGCATATTGTTCTGATGCTGAACAAAATGCTAAAACTTTGGGTCTTACTTCATCAATAACTAAAAATTCAATACAAGTATCAAATAATATTGAAAAACCCCACTAATTTAATTCAAGTTATTCAACTTACAATTGAACATAACCAAATCCTCGGTGTTCAATTGAACCTGTAAAATACACCCATATTACCAAAGTGAGCAATTACTTGCATTTCCAACAAAATTGCATAAAAACAATCAAATTAACCCTCTATTTCCAAAAATAAACAATAATTAAGATAAACCCAAATCACAAATCTTACAAAATATAGCATATTACAGAAAATTAACAATAATGGATTCAGAAAAAACCTTTCTTGGTGACCATGAAACAGCGGCGAATGGGACCCACATCACTGAAGGATTCTTCAAGCTGAGAATTGGAGAAAGAAAAGGGTAAATTTGAGATGAAGACAGTAGCAGGGCAGTGCTCAGTTTGCTTGCGTTCCTTCAATTTTTTGTTCTTCCCCATTTTTTTGGGTTTGGGAGGAGAGAGAAAGAAGTTGCGCAAGGTGAAGAAAAACAAGGGTTTAAGCTCAGGGCTTATTGGAGTAATAATCAAAGAGAAAGGAGTTTTTTCTGTATTGATTCGGGTCGGGTCGAGAAGCTTTTTTGGGGATGGTTCGGATACTTGAGTTCATGACTTCATGGAATGAATCATTAGTAGTGTGGGCTCATGATTGTAGGGGTGAGCTAACCGGGTACCCGGTCAAAATTTTAGGACCCGAACTTGGAATCGGGTCCTAAAATTAGGATCCGGAATTGAAATTGGTTCAACCGGTCCTAAAATTTAGGAATTGGTATTGAAACCACCAGGTACCAGTTCCGGTTTCGGGTACCCACTTGTGTATGTAATTGTTAAAATATATACAAATTATAATTCTTATTTTAGTTAGGTGCATTTTTAGCATTTAATACTTATATTTATATATGCATTAAGCTATTTGTATTTATGTTAGGTATTAATAATACTTTTTTAATTTACAAATTAAATACATTCAACATATTTTTATTATTTAAAATTAATTTAGTTTAGCATATATTAGGTTCTATTAAAAAAAAAAAAAAAGGTAATCGAATACCCAACCAGTTCCGGTTCCAAAAAGTTGAGAATTGGAATTGGAATTGGTTATAACCGGGTCTTTAATTTACTACCCGGAATTGGAACCACCGGGTCCAATTTCGACTCCGGACCCGCCGATTCCTAACCGGTTCCAGTTCCAATTCCGGGTACCCGGAATTTTTGCTCACCCCTAATATTGACACATGTCCCACATCCATTGTAGAGTCGGAGGACTCAGAGTCTCTTCTGTTCGGCTTCAATTCAGTTCAGTTCCTAATTTGATCCTCTCACTTCAATTCAGTTCAGCCCTAATCAGTTCAATTTAGTAAATCGGAACAGGCCTTCATGTGATCGTATGAACAGTAGGCAATGATCATAGATTCATAGCTGGGGAGATGCCCATGGGTGCCAAAATGCCAATTACCATCTTCCCCCTAGCTCTAAGTTAAAATCTTTAGTAAACTTGGGGGTTTTTGTTTTTGGAACCAATCTTAGTGAGGTCATTTTTTTAAAAGTGGGGTCTACAAATGTCCTTCCAGATTAGATTGCATTATGAAGTTTTGGATACATCTGGAAGCTTCTAAAACTTTCTTAAGCAATCTTGTATGAACTCCAAGGGCTAGATATGTGTAGAACACTCCGAAAACGAGTAGTGATAGACCACTACCAGGTATGGGCTCGTTGGGCCCATACCAGGGGCAAAAATGTAATTTCACGTAAAACTTACCCATGTTGTAAAAATGCAGTCTCTCTCCTCTCAATAACAGTATATAAATTATGAATAACAGTATAAAAATCAATAGTAACAGTATACAAGCCAATAATAACAATATAGAAATTAATAATAACTGATCACCGATAAAAAACTACCGGCGTCAATTTCGACCGAACTCAGCGATTTCTAGCATAGAACTCACCGTTTTTAATGGCTAGAGCCATAAGTTTGTGTCTCTTGTTTTTGGGTTATGTTTTTTTGGGTGGTTTCCGGTGATTTTTAATGGAGGTAGTTGCATGTTTTTGGATTTCGACCAAGGTAGTAGCCGGTGGGGTGGGCTTCTTGTTGTCGGAGGTGAAGGTGCGGTGGGCGGAGGTTTGGCCGGCAATGGGAGCTATCCATGGAGGTGGGGAAAAGGGTTTAAGGAAGGAAGAAGATGAAGAGGAAAGGGGAAAAAAAAAGGAAAAAGAAAAAAAAATTGTGGTATTGGGTAGTATTACCTATACCATGGTAGTGGGTAATACTTACTCCTCCGAAAACTTGTACTTAAGAGTTCTACATCAAAATTGTACAGAATATTCTAGAGAGGTTAGCTTCTAGGACCCTCCATTTAAAGAGGTTAGAAATTATTTTTTAATTTTTTTTTTTAAAAAAATACAGAGGGTAGAATAATCTTAAAAGGAAGTTTATAGGCATACTTGGGAGCCCTATAAATAGAGAGTTTCCCATCACGTTTACAGCATCCAAACACTTTGTAAACACTTTTTATCAGTTTGGGTTTGACTAGGGGTATAAATGAGCCGAGCCGAGCCGAGTACTACCTTGTTCATGTTCAACCTAATTTAATTTAGGCGAGCCTGAGCACGAGCCTGAGCTTTCAAGCGAGCTCAAAAATTTGTTCAAGCTCAGCTCATTTAGTAAACTATATGTTCGCGAATGGCTCGTTTATTAAACGAGTATTTTTCATAAATGAGCAATTTTCCTAAACGAGCTTAATAATAAACGAGCTTTGTACTTTTGACATTCCAAAATCTCAAAATTAGCATAATAATGAAATTCAAATTATAATCATAAAAATTAAATTAACAATTGTAACATCAATAATTAATAAAAAAATTATTATCGATTAAGCTATATTTCACTTAAAAACACTTTGCATCTTTGGTAATCATATATTAAGATATTATATATATAACTCAATAATAAAACGAGCTTTTTCATGAACATATATAAACAAGTAGTTCGTGAACATAAATTAACCAGTAGTTCGTGAACGTAAATAAACTAGTAGTTCGTGAACGTAAATAAACGAGTAGTTTGTGAACATAAATAAACGAGTTATTCATAAACTTACCTGAACGAGCATATATATGTTCATGTTCAAGCTCATTTATTAAACGAGCTTCAAATTTTGTTCAAGTTCGGCTCAATTATTAAATAAACGAACATGAACCCGAGATTCAACCGAGCTCGAACCCGAGTAGTTTATTATTGGTCGGCTCGGTTCATTTACACCCTAGGTTTGACATTTCTTTATATTTCTAGATGGAAAATTTCACGTGTTTACTTCCTTCATCTTTTAAGCGTTACACTTTAATTGCCACATAATTCTAAGTGAAGTTTTAACGTAAATTATCTATGACTTATAACTGAAGTTAATATACCATTGAAATTGTAGAATGTAGGAAGAAAATTGATAAAGAAATATTAATGGGTTCAGTGACGGAGCCAGAAATTTCAAATCGGGGGACAAATAGACATTGTATAAATTGACCCAAAGAAAATAGAAAAAACTGATATTTGTACACATAGTTAAATTGTCATAGGTTTACAACTTAAAAGCTTCAAAATATTAAGTCAAAAAATCAAACATCGTATACCATTTTTTCCTCCAAAAAATATTCGATTATGAGTTAAATTTTCTTGAAGATTTTGAACATAAGATAAGATAGATGATGAAATGCACTTGTCATAATTCCAATAACAACTGTAACTCGGGAAGACAATTATTTTTTTATTTTGAAAGAAAAGGGGATTACAATTATTTGAATACATATCATTCTTGGTTAAAAAAAACATATAATTGTTAAAGAAAAATGGAATGATATTGTCTTGTATAGTAAATATAATAGCAAAATATTGCAATAAAATGAGATATCAGGGATTTGATCCCGCGTTCAGTCAAGTTTTAAACCATTGCTCTGCATCATTTGTTGTAATATAATATTGCATGCAGTAAGCATATAAATCAGCCAGTGAATGGGTTTAAGTGGAGATCAGAAATCGCTTTAATTATTAAATTATTTTGGATTTTTTACAAAAGAAAATTATAAATAGATAAGTAGAGAAAAATAAAATAAAATTAAGAAACAATACTAAACTTATTTGCATCATTCTAAAAAGCAAAAAAATAGCCCTGACGTGATATACAAGCGAACATGCCGAATCTTTAACGAGCCAAACTCAAACAAGAATTTAAAAATATCTATATTAAACATTAAAATTATAGGGGCGCCCCAGTTTCTCTACTTGATAAACAAGAAGTGTTTCTCTAGTGACAAATGTGTAATAAAAACGCCTAGGGAATTGTAAACAAATGGTTTTTAAGCTGAATAAATGCTGACTGTGAGTTCCATTGAGGAAGTCACGTGGACTACTGAAGAAGTCGTTACATGGTGTAACGTTAGCGGCGTTCCATTTCAGCTTGCCTCCACCTCCACCAACAACAAACACCTCCACCATCACCTTCCTCTTTCGTCCCCACCGTCACCTCATCATCTTCCTCTTTCGTCCCCACCGTCACCCCATCATCTTCCTCTTTCGTCCCCACCGTCACCCCATCATCTTCCTCTTTCGTCTACACCGGGGACAACCACCATTATCGGCGGCGAACATAAGCGGCTTCGCCGCCAAAATCAAACGAAAAAACCAATAAGAAAGGGTAAAATTTATGGCATGGTTAACCCCAAAGGGTAAGGGTTACCTTCCTCCATTGACGCTGTCATCGAACTTGAATAATTCCTCCATTGAAGCTGTCATCGAGTTCGAATTCCTCCTTTTAGACTCAATTCCCTCCATTGAAGCTTATTCAGTAATTCAGTAAAGTAATTCAGGTCATTTCTAGTCTTCCAGCTCTTTACTACTGGTATGCTCACTTGGAGTAGTGATAAAAGATATAGGAAGTGTTGTTTGGCTGATTCGGAGTAATGAATTTTATGACGTTCAATTTGTAACCAACCTCATTAGGATACACAACAATTATGGTGAAATAGAGGAACTATATAAGAAACCTTTTTCAGATATCAACCAATTAACCAATATCTTAGAAGTATGTTTTCTTAAAAGAAAAAATTCTTAGTATTAGTTCTGCCTTCAGGCTACATTATTTTTATATTGTTATTGTGAAAGAGTTTATTACATTGCAGAGAATGGTTTTGGGATGCTGTTCTGAACAATGAAGCTGTGCGAGAGATTAGGGCTTCTTATCGTGATGGTTAGTGTGCTGCTCTAATCATATTACTGATTAATGTAATTGTATTTGCATTATACAAGTATTTTTCAACATATTCAGAACATTTTTATGTGCTTTGTTAACCAAATTAAGTTTTCTGATGTCTCGACATTTTCATTCAAGTTTTCTATGGTATGTGCAACTTCTGAATCGATTCCTCCGAGCTCTGTGGAGAAATCTGGCTCCTCTAAAGAAAATTTTAAAATATTGAAGTGGATGTTTGAAAATGTGAAGATGAAATTGTTGGATATTCTAGAGGATATTTCACAGTTTTTGGGCGAATTATTCAAACCTCTTGATTGTGAGATAGAAGGAGAGTCTTATGCTTTCACAGAGAAGCTCAAGTCAACATTCTTGATCACGGTGGCAGTGTTGTTGATAGTGGTAGTTGCTCGCGGACACATGACTTGATCAATTAATATTCGTCGACATTACTCAATATGCATTTTCTGGGAACACTATGTATTGGACTTGGTTTTTTGAATGTTTGGCATTTAGTTTTGATGAATCTTGTATCAATTATACTCCGTATTGTTTATGTTTTTGTACCTTTAAATTGATAATTTTTAATGGCAAATTGTTATTCTAGTATTAATACCAATGTACATCAATAGGTGAATTTACAAGTACAACCATGAAGCACCAACACCGCAACACGGCAACACCAACATCACAGGATTGAACATGATCTAGTATATCACATTATCACTTGAATAATTCAGTTGCGATTGCAAGTACGGATAGTTTTATAGATTCTTACTGTAGACATGTTAAACCGGTAGTTAATGAATTAATCTAACAGTAATATTAGTTCTTCTAGTAACAAAGGGAGTTTTTTCGCAAGGGGTATTGAAAACTCTGTTCAAAGGTGTAGAAATTACTTCCGAGACCATAATACAATTACAGGCCTAAAGGGCTATATATGTTATGCATTTGCAGGATCAATAAAGTTAAACGATTAGCAATCAAAAGCTTTTGTAGCATACTAACATTAAAAGTTTCATATTAATCAAGAATTTAAACTCGTACTTACAGTTGATCTTTGAGGTCTCATACTTACTTACAATAGGTCCTACATACATGTAATGGGGTGTTTGTAAACATCGAATGCTTTCAAGTCTAGCCGAGGTCAATAACGCTATTCAAGAGGTACTCTGCATCAAGGGAAACAATGGCTCGCTTGTCAAGGTTGCCAATTGAACAACATTCCTTCTCTTTGGGATTGAATGCCACAACATCTTGAGCAAAAGAACAATCTGATCCAGCTGACACCTACGCAAATTGCAGGAGGCATATAAATTACACATTATTCTGAGACAAGCTAACGAGAGGAGATACTGCAATGAATAAATGATTACTCTGTTTATAGTGGCAATGACAGCTCAAAAAACTTACATCATACAGGGTTTCTCCAAGTTTAAGTTTGACAGCTCCGCTCTTGTAAACAAGCAACTTCCCCATCAGTCCTGCAGGCAAATCTTCCAAACTGCAGCTTTGCTGCGAACTACCTGCTGTACTAGATCCCTTTGCCCCCATGTTCGTTGTCATTGGACCCTTTTGACCTCCTGATGGTCCTAAACTGTCTTCAATTTCTTTCCCCTTAGCAGTAGCAGATCGTTTAACTCCTGGAAGAGATGGAGGAAGTTGGAAAAACAGCAACCATCCTTGACCTGTCTCTTCTGGTTTCTGTGAAGTAACACAATTCATTAGGACATATTAAACACACAAGCATCAGGAGTATTATTTCCATTTAAAAACACTCACCAGAAATCCAAGTTCTGAGGCAGGACTTATTGAATTCTCATCATAATTTGACTTCGTTGCAGCTTCCCCAAACTCGGCTTCATCAAGAATGACTAAAAGGAATAGCCAAAAGATATCAACCTCAGAGCAATAAAAATTTTAACTCCAAAGAAAATAAGCGATATAAATGTATGTTGCTAGGGACTTTTTAGTTGCATTGAAAGTCTTTGTGTTCACAGGTTCAAAATTCTCACATGATGGTTTGTGCTTGATTTCTATGTCTTCGATTTCTTTACTGACCTGGATCTGCTATTTGATAATCCATGGACTTTCAAAATATAATTTGCTCTTAGAGTCTTATCTTGTTAGCATATGACTTGCTTCAGTGTGAAACTAAACAACACTTGATTCATAGCTTTCAAAGGCCAAAGCATACCTGGATCACCAGAGTATGGCCTCCTCCATGGAAGTGTGGTAGGATAGTAAGTAGTAGTGTAGTTCTGCAGTTGATGACAAAAAACATATTGTCAGCTTAAGTGTAATAAGTCAAGGATAAGAGAGAAAATGACAAATTAAAGCTTTCATAATTCATACCCAAGGCTCTTTGTACTCTTTGGTTTTAAGAACTTGATCATCTCCTGAACTCTTTTTTGTCACACTTGGTCCAACTGCGGGTAGAGATGAAACAGGGTGCTTGGTGCTGTCATCCAAGTCCATAAGATCCGATTTTTGGCTGTGTTTGAGACCTTCATCTTGAAGAACATCAGATCCCCTTGTGGTGATGGAACTCTTTACTCCTCCATGAATAAAGGTGGGTTGCATTTGAGCTACAAGTATAAAATCCAACGTAAGTCACTGATCTTGAACAAATATCAGTAGCAGTAACTAGACAAGAAAGCTAATGTGGCATTGGCAGCCAGGTGCAAGGCCGTTTTCTAGTTTTCGTTATGGAAGAAGCCAAAGCACCATTACAACAAACTAATAGAAAATAATCTTAAATTTCAGCCATATAGATGTCATAGCAAACTTTATCAAGACAGAAATGTCATACGAGTAGCAACCATTAGTGGCAAGTCCAACAAAGAAGAGATCACGGAAAGGAGGTAAGGACTACAGTGAAAATAAGAACGCATGGTAGTCAAGAGAAGCTTTTGATCTGTTATATCATAGGTGTATCTAGGAACTTCACAATCATAGGTCTCTTGCATATCCGATGATAAGCCAAAACACACACACATATACTGATGTAACTCTATTTGCACAAAATATGTGCCCCATTTGAGTGAATGTGTGATGCGCCTAACTTTTCCTCATGAGTCATGCTTCAGCATTGGAATTTCTTAGCACCTCAACTCCATGATAAACAATATACTTCACATTTCAATTTAAAATGTGGAATAGCTTTTAGGTTTAACCATAGGTTCATAAATCAAATCCCTCGGCTTATGGTTATGTGATAGTAACTTGCCAAGGTAAAAAAAAAAAAAAAAAAAAAAAAAAAAAAAAAAAACTTGGTTTGGTTTATCTATGTATAGCAAAACATGTTGGTTATAGAGTTTCTTCCACTAAAGAGAGTTCGGGGAAATACACTAGCTTCACTATAAGGCAATCAACAAGAGACACCAAACAAGTGGAACAAAATTACAAATTGATATTACTGCTAATTGCTAAAAACATTATTAGTATACTTCATCGCACATTTGCACCCCAGTCCAAACAAAGTATTTGTTCAATTGCTCATACAATAAAGAAACTCACCTTTGTTCTCGGCTTTAAATCGTTGTTGTCGAGACTTGCCCTGAAACACACAAAAGGGGGAATTTGTAATTTACACCCCTCTAGCAGGGCCAAAAAAAAAAAAAAAAAAAAAAAAAAAGGATCTAAAAAAAAACAACATTTTCATATCAACCTATTATCGATTGCATTAACTTTCTTAATAAGTAATCACAAACCTAAATGCTGTTTAAAATAAAACTAGGAAGAAATCAAAAGTGAATATATTAATCTCATAGATTGAGACAATGACGCACGATTTTGTTATCCATTCCGAAATAAATACGAACCAAGCGAAAGACTGTATGTAACATAAGTTACATAACATTAACATTATTACACCGTATTACTCGCTAATACTGTAATTAAACAAGTAATCTTGATCACTTACTCGTTCATCAAAACGCTGAAGCAATAACTTCGCTTCCGTATCATCATTTCCATCAGAAATTTCTCTGCAAATTATTCCATCAAACATTTAAAGTAATCTTTAAATCAAATTAAACAAGAAAATGAAATATAATTTAGGTTGAATTTTCTTTTACTTTGTTGTAGTAGTAGCTTTTCTAGTCTTTCGTTGCGATGGAGCTTTTGGAGCGAATCTGAGCTGTAAACATCGAAGATAAAACTGGAATTTAATCAAAAAACAAAGAAAAAAAGAATGAAAATTGAAATTGAAAACCAGAAAAATGCTTAAGTACTAACCTTTCGAGGGGAAGGAGAAGGTTTATCTGAATCCATTGAAAATTAAACGGAAAATTACGGAAATCTGCGAAATTCGGAAAATGTAAAATTTTAGGGAAGAACAAACATAGGAATTTCCGGTGTGAATTGATCGGAAACTGGAAATTTTCCGGTGAGAATTGATCGGAAGAAAGGAAATTAGGGTTCCAGGGAAAAAAAAAAAAAAATAGGGATGAGAATCGAACCTGCGACCTTCGCAAAATTGAAAGTGAATTTCACCACTAAATCAATTTACGAACTTATGTAGAAATAATGAATAAAATTAATATATATATTTCCATTGTAGCAGGGTTAATTTTTTTTTTTTTTTTTTTTTTTTGACACAAAGGGTTAAAAATAGTTAAATGAACCATACTCCTTAAGTTATCATATAATTCATCATAATTTTCAAATTTTTCTTATATTCATAAGTTTAACAAAAATATTACCAAATGGCCTTACTAAGATCAATTGTGCCACGTCATAGTCTTTGATAAGTTCATTTTACAAAAATTTAATTTATTGATTATAAAAACTTTTTTTAAAAAAACAACCACCACCCCTTGGGCCAAGCCGCCCAACCTCCCCCCATCGGCACCTAGACCCCTCTGTGGTTAGGTTGTCGGCTGATGGTGGCTTGGTGGGTTTATTTTTATGATTTTTTGAAGTTTTGTTTTTTAATTTAATTAAATAATTTTAAATAAGGTTTTATGAAAAACTTAAATATAAACTCATTAGATGCTGCCATATGGCATAATTAATGTTAATGAATAACGGAGTTAACAACATTAGTCATGGCATTTGGTTGCATTTAATTTTCATATGACTTGAGCAAGTTTAGCCCCAAAGACTTGGATGTGACATCATTTTTTGTGGTCCCCATTGAAAATGATATCATCACATTCTTGTTAAGACTCACTAAGACCTACGAAAATTTATCACTTTAGCCCTAAGACCTAAATATTTGACATATTATATGTAGGAAAGTGTAAGGAAAAAAAAAGGATAATAAAAATAAAAGTGAGGTAGGAGTAGTGGGTCCCAATCTCAAGTCTTAAGTTGAGTCTTGAAATTTCAAGACTCAATTTGACACTTGCTTGAGACTTTTGAAGAAAAATGGGAAAAATCTTAAGCATAAGTCTTAAGATCTAAAATGATAATGTCACCCAAAGTCTTAAGACTTGGGGCTAAACTTGCTCTTATATGGCGAATTTGAAATTTTAAATGGGTATATGGTGAATTGAGTGATAACTCAAGCATATATGTTGAAAAACCTTTTATTTTATTGGAACATGTTATAAAACATAATATTTTGAATAATTATGTAATAACTAATAACCATATTTTTATACCTATAAAGTTTGAACATAAGCAAGTAATAGAAAAAAATTAACTAATTTAAATGAGTGAAATTTGAGCACAAATAACATTTTAAAATGTATTCAATTCGACATTTTGTTCATTGTTGTAATCTTGTTGATAGTGGTAAATGCACGTGGATAGAGGGATTGATCAATCACCATTCGTTGACATTAATTAATATGACTATTCTCAGTGGCGATTCCAGAAATTTTTTGTTATGGGTTCGAAGTTTTAAACATGAAATAATATACTTCCTTCGTTGTTTATTATTTGACTTAATTTGACTTTTCCATTATTCACACTCACATTTAATCGCCTTTTGTGATATACTTAAGTTAAAACATAGCCATGTAGATTTTGTTTAAATCGTCTTAATAAATCTTAACAGAATAATGATTGGTTATAATTTTTACTTTATGAGAAATTAGAATTATCGATGATTATATTTATGCATTGGCAAACATAATAATGTAGCAGGTGAAATAAAAAAGAACAAAAAATAAATTACCAATTACACAAATTTGGAACTATAGTTATTAAATAAATCCAATGACCAATTAAACAAGGGAATAACAACAAAATTACATAGGCTTGGTTTAGGATGTAAGGTGAAATTTCATGATCCATCTCCTTGTTTACAAACATTTATTGAACATAAATTGGTATTACGAAGTGTATCCTTCCTTTTTTCTCAGATTTTGCTGAAATTTCAGAAGGTTCAGCTGAAGCCATACTGGAATCGCCGCTAGCTATCCTTTATATTTAGTTTTTGACTTTTTATTACGGTGAAATTAAAAAAACCTTTTTCTATTAACAATGTTTATTAATCTTGTTTTTTCGAATATTCATCCTAAAACCTTTCATATATATATATTGTAAATTATATACTTTTTGCATCAATTTATTTACTTTTTACAGTGCTTGTGGTAACTTGTTGATTTAGTATCTATACCACGTATATGGTAAAAATTTTAAAGTTGTAGATAATCATTAACAAAGTTGTAGAAAAAATTTGATATACTTGTTCATTTATTAGATATCGCGTATTGATTTTGGTGGTATATTCAATTCTTGCGAGTAATATTCTTATATTATTATGTTTTTATTATTTTTTTTTTAATTTTGTTTATTTATATATTGCAAACTTGTTCATGAATTAAAAGTAAGCTTTCATGGTTAACAACATGGTTTTGCCTAAATTTTGGTGTCTTAGTGTCAACATCAAGCTTCATTGGCTATTATATAAGCAATTAATTAAAATCTTGGAGTACCATTATTGTGTTGTAAAAAAAATAGATTGTTCAAGTTAGCTTACATGAAAATGACTAAGAAGACTAGTTGTAAATGTCACCAACATTCGACCCAAGATTAAAAGTTCAATTGTTCTATTTGTGCGACATGTCATATGCTGACTATTTCCCTTAATCTTTTGCATACGGTCTACTAGAATCACTACTAACTCTAGTTAAGGTTCCCCAAACTATTAAGTAGAAAACTATTTAATAGAGAGGTTTTTTTTAAAGAATTCTTTGTATTAAAAATTGAGAGAGTTTACAATTGTGTGTATGATACAAAAATGAGAGAAAAGTCCCTATTTATAATCTTCCTTAATTACATACAACCTACTTTTTGTCTAGTATGTTCTTAAATTCTTAAATGGAGGGTTCTATAATCTCATGTTCTAGAGACTTCTACATTGTTATAAGTACATCCTTCTTATCTATTAACTATTACTAAAACAAAACATTGATGATGTCATCAATTTCTTTAAGTGCAACAAACCCTCATAAAAAATTTTCCCTCCAAATTTTACCTATGATGTCATTTTTTTTTTCTTTTTTTTTTTTGTGCCTTTTCTAGTTAGAAACTGAGACCAATTAGGTGTGAAATTTAAATTTGACATCAATATTGTTGTATAAACTCCACACTATTTTTGGATATTCATAATACAACAATATTAAATAGACATAGATATTGGTAGCTAATTATACACATTTTTTTTTAACAAATTAATACACATTTTTAATTTTTTTTAATAGTAAGTACACATTTATTTAGCTTTCACTCTAAACGTATAAGCTTAATGAATTTTACATTTATACAACATTAATATATTTAATCTAACCATCATTTTAGTATATTTTAAATAACATAGTAAATATTACATTACGATGCAACATTTTATAACTATTTTTTTTAAGTACATGTTTTTTTTTAATATATTTATATAACAATTTTTTTTACAAAAATAAAGAGCCAAATCATATTAGACAGTTATCAACAACAAAAGATAAATAATTATAGAGAATTACTGATCAACCACCGTGTAACGCACGGGTACTAATCTAGTTTATAAGATTTTAAAAAATCTATGCGATTATAGCTCTTAGAATATGTAATTGCCCTAAAGAGTTATAGAAGTTTCCGGATGTTTATCAAACCTCTTTGTCTAATCTGGACGTTTTCGGGCCCCACATTGAAAAACCGATTTTGCCATGATATTTATTGGACCCAAAAATGGCGGACCTCCAAGGTTAGACCCATTTGGACTCCATTTGGGCCTTCAAATAAATCATTATTGTGTTATTGTCGATGTGATGTTCACAATATTACCCCCGTGCTAAATAAAGCATTATAAAGGGAAGTTGTTGTTGGCACCCATGTCCAATGGCCCCGATTGTTGCCTAATGCCCATAGGCCACATTGACTATGGGTGAAAGTTCGGTTTGCGGTGTGGCTTATAGCTCAAATTGAAACCAAACCACAATAGTTCGGTTTTGGGATTTTTCAAACCACACTGCACCATATTATTATTGAAACTGAAACAAATCACACCGTTTTAAATTTGGTTTTCAAAAAAAAAAAAAAAAAAAACCAAACATCACACCGAAATTTTTCATCCTCTTTCTTTTTGCTCCATATAATGGGTCATTCACTCTAACATTGCCCACATTGGTTGACATTATAAGAAATAAAGAAACACAAGTTTTATCATTTTTTGGCTTTATATATGTAGGGTAAAAATTAATAAAGAAAATTGAAAGCAAATCATATTGATTCGATTTTGAGATTTCTCAAACCGCACCAACCATATTAGAAAAAAAAGAAAAAAAAAACGCAAGGTTTGATTCGGTTTTAAACGAGTTAAGTATAAAAGTGAGTACTCAGTTTTAACATTTTTCACCTTTGGGTACTCTAAGTTTTTTTTTCACCTTTTAGGTACTCAAAGGCATATTCCGGTCAAAACTTAACCATAGGTGAGTTAAAAACTGAGTACCTTGGTTATACGTGGGACCCACTTTAAAAAAAACTCCTAAAAACTGAGTACCCTTGTATATGTGGGACCCACTTAAAAAAATTCTCTGGGATGATGAAAAAACTCAGTCCCCTATTAATTACGTCTGATGATGATTTGATGGCGGCGCATAGGATTGACACACGTGTTCCTTGGGGAGTGGGATCTTGTTGTCCAAGCTACTCAATTCTGTGGCTAAAATCAAAACGCAACGTTTTGAATACCAAGGGTCTTTTTTTATTTTGATTTAGGCGCCATTTCTCCCATTTCTCATTTATTCCTCTGTTCATCTTCTCAAATTCTCTCTGCAACTTTGAATATTCTTCTGATTTGGGGGCTTCCTCTGTACTTCTATTGTTGTATTTTTTTTTTTGCGAAATTGTTCAATTTTTCGAATGGGTATATTTTGGTATTAGGGTCTGGAATTTTTTTTTTCCAATTCTGTGGTTCAATTATGCGAATATGTGTGTAATTTATATGGTGGGTGTGTTAAAATGGGTTATGTGTTTGGTGCGTGTTTGATTTAGGCTGCCTTAGTTCATACAACCCAAGCATCTCAGTCACAATCCAACACTAGTTCAACTACTACAACAGTGAGGATGTACTAACCAGGTAAATTTTTGCTTGTATATAAAAATTACACATAATTATAATTAGACATAAGATAATAATTCTGTAAAAAGAAATGGAAATCTACATCTTGTACTCCATTTTCTGCAGCATCTAATTAATTTGAATCAATTTGATCATTTCACACTTAGATATTCTTCTAGCTTGCAGGGCTTGGACAGGGGAGAATGTGTGAATTAGCTTCAATTGATTATTTTGTCTAAGCAATTAAGTTGATGTTATTTTGTCTAGTATGCTGTTGTAGTTGCAACGACTACTTTTTGGGATTTAATTATGTATTTTGTATTTGCAAGGAAATATTCAAGGCCTTGCTTAATTTGTCAGAAGGGACTGTGTTTTTTGGGATTAAAATTCAATGAAGGGACTGGGTTTTTGCTACATTTATTTAGCAAGGTACTATGTTTTATTCCGGTGGGTTTATATTGAGTTAACTTACCGGTTTTCTAACTAGAGTACCTAAAAGGTGAAAAAAAAAAAAAATTTAGAGTACCTAAAAGGTGAAAAAAGTTAAAACTGAGTACTCACTTTTGTACTTAACTCGTTTTAAACTGCATTAAATTCACAAAGAAAAAGAAAAAGAAAAAAAGAAAAAGAAAAAGAAAAAAAAAAGAGACGAATACAAATTCTGGACTTTGGAGTTGGATGGGTTGTTGCTAACTCTTCAAGTCTACAGTTGCCTGTAAGTTGTTCTTCCATTAACCATCTTAACCAACATCGTTAATCATCTAATTTATCTTAATCATCATTGATTCTATGTTTAATGTCTTTGAGTTCTTAGGAATTTGAAAGCAACCATCTTTTCACTCCTCGTCTCTCTGTACAATATGGTAAGCAATTTTTATCTAATCTTTCTTATATATAACTTCAAATTTTGTTTTTTTTCTTATTTATTATCTCGTCAATTTGGATGATTTCATGCAAGATACATGATTTATTCACATTAGATAAGAGTTGATTCATAGGAGTAAATGGGAGGCTGAATTTTTTTATTTTTTTTAGGGTATTGGGTTTTGATGATTGTAATTGAGGTGCTTGGAATTGTGGTAGATCATGATAATGCGAATTTGTCTGATTTATGATTGAAATTGCTTTTGGAGCTCGATTGATTGACCGTTTTATTGAATTATGGTTAAAATTAATACATAAAAAAAAAACAGTAATTTTCCATTGTTTTGGTGTTGAATTGGAATATATCTGTCTAATTGAGTTACTTTTATGAGAATCTTTGCTTGTGATGAAGCGTCTTAATGTCGAATGATCGATGAAGTTTTGATTTGTACTTAGTTTTAAATGAGTTGGTTGAGTGATTGAAGCTGTATTGATTTGTATTTAGGCAATGTACATTCGAGTTAAGCGTAGTAAGACAACCTACTTCATTCAGTGTGATCCTACCGAAAAAATCCTGGAGATAAAGCAGAAAATTCATGGGCTTATTGAACAGCCTGTTGATAACCAGCGGTTGATTCTTGTAGAATCGGGGGAAGTGCTCGAGGATTCAAAGACTTTAGCAGATCAAAAGGTAGGTGTATCCGTGAGTATGATCAACTCGTGAACTAGGAAACTGGTTTTGTTGTCAATATACTCTTGTTAGTTTTGAGGTTTTAAATAAGCTTTTTGTCTCTTGAAATTTGAATGAATTTCTTTTCTTTTTAGGTGGAAAATGATGCTGTGGTGGCATTAACCTTGAGAAAAGGTGCTCTTCTTACTCTTGTCTGGGCTCTTTGTTTTTGTTCTTTTTTCATCGTGATCTTCAATGTGTGTATTTTCTTTTGTGTCTGAAAATAATCCTATCGTGGACTTGACTTGTTTTTATGAAATTGATGTACATTCATGCAAAGCGACCAAAGAATTTCAGGGAGTCAGGTGGCTAAAGTTAATGTAGTGTATAATAGTGATAGGTATTGGCAGCACAATAAGGGGTAGAAACATAGGTGCTAGCCAAGAAGTTTATTGGTGGGGTTTGGGAATTTATAATGAAACCATGTGTCTAACTAGCCTATCCTCTAAACTAGTGAATTGGCTCTTTAGAAATCATCGATGCATCTCTCTTTCCCCCATTATATTCACCTTTGTTATAGGCTTATAGCCCGCTGAGGAACATCTAGGACATTTACATCAGTTAGATCACCTTGATATGATGTTAAAGGTCAATTTATAGTTTGAAGGGGTGATTAGGGAGAAGGAATTCTTATCGACCTTCCACACATGCAGTTTGGATATGTAAATAGGTTGGCCATAAGTCCTTAAAAGATCAAACATAGTATACAAGGCTCGAATCAAAAACAGGGTCTGAATAAAGGCATTAAAATGTAAGCAGCAGCTGGAAGCCTGGAACAATTATCTTCACTATTTAACGAGACCATGCTAGAAACCAGAAAGAATGAAAAAAAGGGTAATAATAATCATTAAGGGCTTAAGTGAGGGGTGTTGGATGGTTGGAGCCATGGAGGCGATGCTAGTGTTTGGTAGCAGCGGAGTAACTGTTTTATTACCCCCATTGACAGTAAATTATAACTCTAAGAGGGGAAAAGGGAACCCAACATCCCATTTGAAGGTAATCTATTACCCTTAATTCGTCTGTTTTACATTGTGCTTTAGCTCCAATAGTAGTTCTAATAAAAGAAAAGGGTGTCTAAATTGTTCCTTAAGGTAAACTCCTTTTACCCCCCCCCCCTTCTCCACCCTAACTAATACAACAACAAAAAGGTGTGAAGCAAAGCAAGAATGAACAGAAAGGGTGTAAAGTGTAAACCCTCTTTTTAAGATGTATTCTATCAGTTATAGGTTGGTTTGTATCTAATGCTTTGCGTGCTTTTTTCTCTTTGTGTCTAGATGATAATGAATTTGAAGATGTCAACATCGTAAAGCCAAACGATTTCTACCAATCTCGTGATTCAGATGGTGGTTCCAATTGGTAAATTAAGGTTTAAGTATAGCTTAGTTTGTTATGGTGGCAAATTGGCAATTGGCAGGCAATGAGCAGTGATGGATGAAAGATAATTGGTCTTGGGCTTTCAGTACCTGTTTGCTGGCCGAAACATATGGTGTTCGGAAACTAAGAAGAGTAGTAGCTACAAGAATTCAATTTCATGTGTGCTGATGACATGTCAGAATTGCATGAACTTATTAAAGTTAGTTGTTTTTGTTAAGGAAAGGCTACTTGAAGTCTTAATTTGTATGTTCTAGAAGATGTTGCTGGACTTTTACTATACATGAGTCTTGTTGTAAATTTGCCGATTGCCCCATTCTATGAGTTATTCTTGTGCACATTTTTTTTTGCTAATTGAAGTTGTAAACTTAGGCTGTCTACAGCAAGTCTGCAATGCCGATAGCATCTGTCAATTCAATTTACATTATGGTTAAGCTACAAGTTTCCGGCCATAAAGAATTTGTACTACAGTGCAGCATCCTAAGTAAAAACCTATATAACGGAAGCAACTAAAGGATGATAAACCTTATATTGAAAAGTAGATTGGTCGAATAGGATTATAGTACGTAGTACAGAGTAATAATTTCTTTTCTTATTCAAGATCTGTTAAAATTTAAGGGCCAGTTTGTAATTGTTTTTGTTTTCAATTTTCCGTTTCTTTTTTTCAAATGAAAAACCAAAAAGATGCCAATGATACCAAACAAACATTTATTCATTATTGGCAAGTGAAAGTTTAGACCTCGCAGGAAAAATTAATGTTTGGTCGCTTACATAACATGAATTATGATGAAACCTCATTCTTCTAGTAGTAACATAGACAAAAGATCCTTGTGTAATTACACAGAACCCGTACTCACCCTAAAACTACCTTGAACACGATACATAAGTGACAAACACAGTTTTTTAATAGTAAGACCTCATAGTGAAGCATCTGGTATCAACACAACTGATCCAGTTGTTTGTCGGTTCTCAAGTGCTGTTTGAGCCTCAGCTGCTTGTGACAGTAGAAACTTATGATTAACACGAACTCGTAAAACACCTGAAGCAACATTTGCAAATAACTCTCCAGCAGCTTCTAGAAGCTCATCCCGAGTTATGGTGTAATGCATAAGGGTGGGTCTCGTTAAGAAGAGGGATTTTGCTGCAATCGCTGACAATGGAACGGGATCTGGTGAACCTGAAGACTGACCAAACAGAACCATGTATCCCCGGAGTTTCAAGCATTCCAGTGATCCCTGAAAACAGAACAATTTCAGTATACATGGTTCAGCATATGGATGTCTTTATTTTTTTATTTTTAAAAAATAAATTATTTAGATTAAGCAGAAAAAGCATCTTAATGGAACTACAGTATATAGGAAGGTCTGGAAAGCACCAACAACATCACAAGGGAATATAAGCCAATTACTTCATATATTCTAAACAACCCCAACATGCAAATAAGCTCATAAGTTGGTTCCTTTGTTTGAGAATTCAAAAAGCTTGGATTAACAGATTAAATTAAAAAATACACAAGTCTAGGAAGCTGCAGGGTCCAGGTAGAAAAGTGCAACCCTAGTTTGATTTATGGTGGATAAGGGTTCACATTACCTGAAAAGTGTCTTTTCCAACAGAATCATAGACAACTTCTACCCCTTGGCCAGCTGTTATATCTTTAACACGAGACACAAAATCTTCTTCCTTGTAGATTATCACATGGTGACAACCATCTTCTCTAGCTTGAGCTGCTTTCTCTTCTGTTGAGACAGTGCCAATGACAGTAGCACCAAGGGCATTTGCCCATTGGCATAACAGAGATCCTACCCCTCCCGCAGCCGCATGTACAAGAACAGTATGCCCAGCTTCAACCTATGATTTCATAAGTTGGAAGAATAGACAATATTATATATATATAACAACCAAACAACCATTTCCTCTGATCATTCTTAAATTTGGATCTAAATAATGCAAAAATCAAGAAAAATCTCTTATAAAAAATATTGTGGTACTATTTGTGCCTTCAATAGAAATACACTAAGATGATACTTGCTACACGTGTTCTCTACTGTAGAGAACTAGAGGTGTAGACTTCATGAGTGATTCATGAGGTAAATGTTCTCATACACAAGCTACTTACGATTTACTTTGTATAAAACAAGTAAAAAGAGAATTCAGAGCATTGCTTTTGCCAATGATAACTGACATGAGTGGTGTGCTTATTGCTAATAACTGTCATCAGAATAAATGTTGAATAGCATGCTTAGACATATAAAACTAGGTCATTATCAAGGGCAAGCAGAAATTCAATTAAAAATACACACCAGAAATAAGGGAAGAGTATGAGAACCAAGTCCTAGTCAGAATTTCATTCAGAGAAAATAAATTTACGATTTAATAGGCCTATAGTCAATAATCACATAGAGTGTGTACCTTGAAGCTGCTACGGACTAAATATTGAGCTGTCAATCCCTTGAGCATGATAGATGCTGCAGTGATAGGATCAACAGAAGGCGGAACAGGGACAGCTCTGTCAGCAGGAAGGATCTGCTCCTCTGCATATGAACCCATTGGACTACCAGCATAAGCAACAAGATCACCCACCTTTCTGCCAGTTAATCCAGGACCTACAGCTACCACCTCTCCTACTGCTTCCATTCCTAGTAATCCCCCAAACAGAAAGAAAACAAAAAAGGGCTTAACGGAGAGGTAATTCAGTTGCAAGAAATGCAGTCATGAAAACATACTTCAGACAATTGTCATATCTAAGCAACATAAAACATTTGAGAACTCCACGTAAGCGCCCTAACTACTGATATGCTTACATATTCACATGCCCATCAACACACACAAGATAAGATTAAGTTCAATAACATTTATTAATCAAGACAAATGCCTCTCCCCCCCCCCCCCCCCCCCCCCAATAACAAAAAAAAAAATGTAAAAATAACAGGTTAGTGGATAGCATTATGGACCAAACGAATATTCAAATTGCAGAATGGAGACCATGGGGCTCTGCACAGCCCAGTATAAAGCATACTGGAGCCTTTGGAGACTAAATTAGTGTTCCGGTTGAGTCATAAGACTCGTTACTTAGCAAGATATGATACCTAAAGGACTCTTTTTCACCATTATTCTCATTAGAACATTCAAATGAACAGACAAAACATTCCATAAAGAAAAAAAAAAAAAAACACTCACACCATTGAAATTTTGAGGTTTGCATGCATATCAGTTGGTATCTTGAAAGAATTGCAGAGAAGCTGCTTCCTCAAATCTCAAGGCATACATCATTTTACTGGAATGAAATTTGTTATCATAACTAAATAAGCAACAATAAGATCAAGCAATATATCTGCACCATTGATGGGGTGGTTCAAATGGACAGTCCTTCCCAAGAGTCCAGAACTGGTAAAAACCAGAAGAGGGGGTCAGACAGACTAAAATTGCAGAGACGATCAAAAGTAATAGGCAAACCTGGAGTATAGGGCATTGTTGGACTCTTATAAACTCCCTTGCGGAAGTAAATATCAATAAAATTAAGCCCAATTGCTTTATTTTTCACGCGGATTTCACCCTCCTTTGGTTCTCCTACTTCTACATCCTCCCACTTCAATACCTACAAACATTAGCATCATCCAGTCAAGTTCAGCCAATAAATTCAGCATCATATATACATACATATAAACCGAAAAAAAAATAAAATACAAATCTAACATTTTCAGCTTCTTAATTAGCATACAAGCAAAATGAAAACTAAGATTCACAATCTCCCTGTCATATTCAACAAGAAAACTTCACAAGTAAAATCATGAACTGCATATAAGAGCACGATCATCCGCAAAGGCGACGAATTTTCAGTGGTCAACCATTGCTTAAGTGCCTTCACAAGAAAAATCCCTCAAAATGTATATGGGAACGAATGCCCCACATGGAGAGTTGGAGAAATATAGAATTCTTGGAATTCCTCTCAATTGAAGAGTAGATACATTATCAATAAGTCATGTGAATTGTATTCACAAATTAAGTTCATATGCATAAAATGTAAGGGAGAGAAAGAAAAGAGAATTAAATTTTCAACACAAATTGTAAAATTTGTCAGAATTACTCACTGACCCATATCTGTAAATGTAGATTTTTGAATTTCAACCAAAAAAAATAAAATAAAATCAATATGCATACTTTGGGAGTTGGGGCAAACTAACAAACAGGAGGAGTGCATTTGAATAGAACAAAAAGAAAGATCAATAATTTGTCATCAAAATGCAAACTTTCAGAAATTCATCAAAATATAAGCTTAAGTTTGAACCATCAATAACTAATAATGAGCTCATTTGGGCATAATATCAAACAGGTAGAGTACATACAAATTATTAAGAGAATAGAAAATGAACCTCTGGACCGCCAAATTCATGAACCCTAATTGCTTTCACCATTGTTTTTTCGGTTGAATTTGAACAAGCTCTAACTTTGTTCAATTTGATTGGATTTGTGATGGTAATTAATCGGAATAAGTTTTTATTTGAGGGAAATGAAGAACATGGTAGAAACCCAGTTTTATACTTGTGCAAGATTAAGGATGATCTAGAATTCAATAATGAAGGATTATGATGATAATTTGGTACTAATCCTAGCCTTAAACACCCCATTTATTTGGTTAACTTTTATTTTCTTGTTAATCATATGTTTTGGGTTCTTAATGGACCATACACTTGTTTAGTTATCTTGACTTCATCGAGTCTTTTTTATTTCTAACAAGTCTACTTGTTTCAGTATTTTCTTTTTATAATACAAGTAATATTTTTTGGTTGATAGAATATAGTTTAGTTTATCTACCCAATTCTCATTTTACTTGCTCTGTTTTGATTAAAAACATTTATACTGATTGGTTTAACGGGTAGGTAATACGGAGGATGTGTATGAGATTTACGGATTTCGTTACGAGTCTTTTTTAACTTGGAAATTTATCGTCATATAATCATATGTCCTAGTAGACTAGTAGTGTACATTGAATTAAATTATCATGCTTTGTATGACAATTTTTGTGTATGTACTTATGTACTTAAGAGTTACGACACACTAAAAATTGCTCATTTGTGTCAATTGGAAACTTGGGTATTACGTATAACCTTACAAACAACCTAGTATTTGAACATAACTTAATTTTTAATTCCCCTAAACCTTCTACATGAACAATTGAGATATATACCGATTATCATCGACCTTAAATCAATCCCGATTTTCTTCGTTTCCTACCTCGTTCATACAAGTTATGACAAGAGTAATAATTATGTATAAGTCAAGAAGATGATTAATTATAATGGCAATGTGGCAGAGTTTGTAATAATATGTTGCACATGAATACGTGATACCTACGAATTGAGTTAGTTATTAAGTTAATCATGTAGTAATACAAGCAAGTTCGTTACATGACAAAAAATTAAGTAAAGCATTACATTTAATACAAGCAAGTTCGTTGACCATTGACTTGAAGTGCTTAGATTTTGTATTTATGTGTCTATATTTCAATATCTGATGTAGATATCTGTCTAACTTATTGATAATGTAGACAGATATCTACATCAGATATTGAAATATAGACACATAAATACAAAATCTAAGCACTTCAAGTCAATGGTCAACATTAGCTTCATAATCTTGACAGCAAAATAAGAGATGCTTAAACTTCTTTAAATCTTCTCAAATTCATGATATGACCATAAATTATATACTTGAATGATGTATAAGACTATGACAATGATATTGATAGCATACTAGCAATGCTACTTGAGCACTAGTCAAGGAAGTCTGCGGCAAGCACAATGTAATAATAACATAGAGAAAATATAAATTGAAGGTACTAACGTTTGCCAAAAGTTGCACATAAGGTACTAACGTTTTAAAAGTTGCACAAAGGTACTGAACTTGTTATAAGAGGTAAATAATCTGGTGAAAACTTGTTAAACCGGTTGGAACAAGTTTTTGGTTTATTAAAAAAAGGAAAAATAATTAAATAGGGACACGTGTGCTTCGGAAAGGGGAAAAAAAGGCTAATTTGTACATCTGGAAACGAAAAACATCATTACCTTTCACCTTTCTCCCTCTTTTAACACACTCACTCTTCCAAGCACCCAGAAATCACGAAAATGGTGGCAACTTCAATTTCAACCTATTTTAGTTGTTTTTCAATTGCTTCTATGAAAACTAAAACCTCCCCATTTCCATTACTCTCCCAAAGCTATCTTTAATTTCACCCAATTTAATTTCATTGCATTTTTTTAATTTTTAATGTAGTTTCTAATTATTACGATATATTTTAGGGAAATGTTTGGGAGTATATTTGATTATCAAGGATAATTTTTATTTTATTTTTTTTGATCCAAAAGAGGAATTGTATTCCAATAAAGAAAAAGAAGAACAAGCAACAAAGGAACAAACAACTTGAGAAAGAAAAACGAAGAGGCAAAAAAACAAAACATGCAAAAAAGAACTAAGAAGATACTAGGCGTGGTAAGGCCACTCCCCAAGCATCCTCCGGTATAAAGGATATTTGATTATCAAGAATATTTGATTTCCCATTATATTCTTGCCCATGCTTTAGCTAGTGGTATTGGAATAGGCTTAGTATTATATATTTGCTGCTCATTGTATCAATAAACAAGACCAATATTCTCTGTTTCTACACTAATTCATTTATTTACAATTGCAGAAGCTCAAGTAAATCGATTGTTTCCGTACTATCCAATTACTCTAGTGATTATTCATCTATTTCTGGTAATTTGATTTCTTACTATCTACAAATTTATCTTTTCAAATTGTTTTCTGAATTTGAATTGTTTGAGGATAATTTTCATTTGTTACCGAATTTTATAATTAGACTTATTAGCTGTGAAATAATTATTTGTTACCGAAACTTATAATTAGACTTATTTTTGTTGATTTTCCTGTAATTTTTAGACATGTACTCTTTTAAAAAAAATAACTTTGTATTTTGTATTTCCTGTTATTTTTGTAATTGCTTCTTCTGATTTTTTTTTTTTTTCAATAGATGCAAGGTGGAGAAGATGGCTATGGAGATGAGTATATATGGAAGTCGGTTTTTTTGGAGTTGTACCAGCTATAATTTAACTGATAGATTTCTTGAACAATTGCAAACTTCAGTCCCCTCTTTATTAATGTCAGAATTTTATTTTTCCATATTTTATTTTTGTTTGGTTAACCTGTCGTAGAAGGTCAATTATGTGGTGATTACTCTATCTGCAACTTTTAAAACGTTAGTACCTTATGTGCAACTTTTGGCAAACGTTAGTACCTTCAATTTGTATTTACTCTAATAACATAACCTCACAAACAACCTACTACAACATGAACAACATCTACTGATCATCTTCAACCTCGATTCAATCATCGTTGTCCTCGGCCTTGGCCTTGTTCATACAAGTGATGGCAGGTGTGTAGCAGTTATAACTCGAGGCGGAGGTGATAGTTATAATGGCAAGGTGACATGGTTTGTTATAATATCTTGCATGATGGCTGCTATGGGAGGAGTACTTTTTGGTTATGACATTGGAATTTCAGGTTTTTCTTTTTTAAAACTTTTGATTTCATCTCAAATTTTCAAGCATATATAACAAGGTGGTTAATTAATGTTAGCTTTATGTTATTACTTAGAATATTAATGAGCTATATAATGTGTATCAAATTTGAAGGTGGAGTAACATCAATGGAGCCATTTCTAAAGAAATTCTTTCCAAGTGTGTATGTGAATATGATGGAAGACACCAAAATAAGCAACTATTGCAAATTCAACAGTGAATTGTTGACTTCATTCACATCATCTCTTTATGTTGCTGGCCTTGTTGCATCCTTCTTTGCTTCATCCATCACCAAAGTATACGGCCGCAAGCCATCCATTTTGATAGCGGGTTTAGCATTTCTTGCTGGCTCTGCTGTTGGTGGTGCTGCTATCAATATATACATGCTTATACTCGGCCGCCTATTGCTTGGTGTTGGAGTTGGTTTTGCAAACCAGGTATGTATGAATGTATGATTATGACTGAGTTATGATTCTTGAAGATGAGAGTTTATTTTGTAACATCTATACTTTTTGGTACAGTCTGCTCCACTATACCTGTCAGAAATGGCACCACCAAAGTACAGAGGAGCATTTAACAACGGCTTTCAACTTAGTGTTGGAATTGGGGGCTTGACAGCAAACTTGATCAACGTTGGTACCGAGAAAATCAAAGGCGGATGGGGATGGCGAGTCTCCCTAGCCACGGCTGTGGCTCCTGCTATAATCTTAACTGTAGGGGCAATTCTGCTGCCTGAAACACCAAACAGTTTAATCCAAAGAAGCAAAAACTCTCGCGCTACTGATCCTAATGATCTTTTGCATAAAGCAACGCTCACATTGCAAAGTGTACGAGGTACTACTGATGTTGAGGCAGAACTCAATGATCTTATACACGCGAGCAGCACAATTCCTGAAACAAAACATGGCAGTTCGTTCAGCCAAATCCTGCAACGCAAATACAGGCCACAACTCATAATGTCAATAGCTATACCATTTTTTCAACAGGTGACAGGGATCAATGTAATCGCGTTTTATGCTCCCTTACTATTTCGTACATTAGGCCTAGGAGAAAGTGCATCACTTCTCTCTGCAGTCATGACAGGGGCTGTAGGAACAGCCTCAACTTTCATATCAATGCTAATCGTCGACAAATTTGGAAGACGAGCTTTGTTCATCTTCGGAGGAGTTCAGATGTTCATCTGTCAGATTGCTATAGGGACTATTATGGAAACACACCTAGGAGATCATGGTGGGATAAGCAAAGAGTATGCTTATTTGGTATTGGTGCTCATTTGCATTTATGTAGCTGGTTTCGGGTGGTCTTGGGGGCCATTAGGATGGTTAGTCCCTAGCGAAATTTTCCAGCTTGAAATAAGATCTGCAGGACAAAGTATTACAGTAGCAGTTAATTTTATCTTCACTTTTATCATAGCTCAGACATTTTTAGCTATGCTTTGTTGTTTTAAAGCTGGGATTTTCTTCTTTTTTGGTGGGTGGGTTTTGGTTATGACTGTGTTTGTATACTTGTTTTTGCCAGAAACCAAGGGTATCCCTCTTGAGAAGATGGATCATATTTGGAGGGATCATTGGTTTTGGGGTAAATTTGTTGGTTAAATTTACTTACAAAATACAAAAACAAACTAGATAGAAAACAATTGTTACAAATAATACTATACGACATGTCATTTTGGTAAAGACTGCATATTATATGGAATTTGTGAGTTTTGAAGATACAGATTATGCATTCTACTGAATTACTCAATATCAATCCTTGTTTTTTTTTATATATATATTTTTACAATTATGTAAAGTAAGAAAAACAATAAACAAGGTTAGAGCTTGTTCAAATTCAACCGAAAAAACAATGGTGAAAGCAATTAGGGTTCATGAATTTGGCGGTCCAGAGGTTCATTTTCTATTCTCTTAATAATTTGTATGTACTCTACCTGTTTGATATTATGCCCAAATGAGCTCATTATTAGTTATTGATGGTTCAAACTTAAGCTTTTATTTTGATGAATTTCTGAAAGTTTGCATTTTGATGACAAATTATTGATCTTTCTTTTTGTGCTATGCAAATGCAATCTAACTATTCGTTAATTTGCCCCAACTCCCAAGTTATTGATTTTTTTTTTTGGTTGAAATTCGAAAATTTACATTTACAGATATGGGTCAGTGAGTAATTCCGACAAATTTTACAATTTGTGATGAAAATTTAATTCCCTTTTCTTTCTCTCCCTTAAATTTTATGCATATGTGTTAGAAATAGTAATGCAATCGGATGACTCGCGCCCGATCGGATGACTCGCGCCCGATCGGGCGAAGGTGGTCAAGGAAAAAACGGGAACTCTCGCGCCCGATCGGGCGGCTTCGCCCGACCGGGCGATGGACAAGAGTTTTTCTACGAGATCTCTCGCGCCCGATCGGGCGGGCTTCGCCCGACCGGGCGGCGGACTCAAGGTTTTGACGAGCTCGATCGGGCGGATTCGCCCGATGGCTCGCCCGGAATGGGGTTTCTATATCGCCCGATTGGGCGGTGTCCGCCCGACCGGGCGCGACACTACGTCTGGAAAAACCTGATCTCGCGCCCGATCGGGCCCGCCTTTTTTCCTAGGTCGGTTTGATTACGTGTTTCCTTTTTCTAGGACTCATATAAATACGAGTCATACCTTTTTCATGATTATTATTCACTTTCTAGCCGAAAAAACAAAAACCTACCTTTTGAGATCTGAACAGTTCTTGAGCAATTCCACTCTTCGAGTTCGGGTGCACGGATTACGGAGAGAGTTGCGTTAAACTTGGGGGGCGTGCGTCACTAGGAAACTTGTACCGGTGGTGGCGTATTTCGCTTCTAAGGCAGTGGATTATTGTTCCACGGCGCGACTGTGAGTTTGAGATCTTCAATCCAGGAAAGTTCTAATCTTTTGTTTGTTATTGATTTCAACAGTTATTTTACCAACAATATGCACCTGTGTTCTTAAGATTATGAACTTTATTTGTGAATATAATTCACATGACTTATTTATAAAATATCTACTCTTCAATTGAGAGAGTTTCCAAGAATGCTATACTTCTCCAATTCTTCATGTGGAGGCAGTGGTTGATCACTGAAATTTCGTCACCTTTGCAGATGATCATGCTCTTAAATACAGTTGATGATTTCACTTGTGAAATTTTCTTGTTGAATATGACAGGGAGATTGTGAATCTTAGTTTTAATTTTGCTTGTATGCCAATTAAGAAGCTGAAAATGTTATTGAGATGTGCTTTGCTTCTCAGATAAGCTCCTTCCCTTATACCATCTTCCTTGACTTCTGCAACATTTTCATAGAAATTAAATTTGAGATAAAGGCTACCTTTCAGGTTCTCAATTTTTTTAAGTTCTTCCAGATGATCAAACCATTGTTTCCAACTTGAACTTGAGTTATTCAACACAAACCAGGTTAGCATGTAAAGGCAAGTCAAATTGCTCATGCCCCTAGGCATATAACTCGGTCTATAGCAACCTGTTATATCCAATATCTGCAGGTTAATTAGCTTCATCAGATCTTTTGGCAACTCTTTCAATCCATGGCACCTACTTAACTTCAAAGTCTGCAAATTATATAAATTTATGATTGATGTCGGGAGCTTTTCCAAATCACCATTGTTTGAGAGATCTAGATATCTTAAATGCAGTAGTTCACCTATCGAGTCTGGCAAACTTTTTATACCTGAATTACTCAAGTCCAGTGCCCTCAAACACACCCAATTCGCTATTAATGCCTCCAAAGAAGATTGATCTATTATAATTTTATTATAACAGTTGCCATCTTGCCAACATAAAGATAAGAACGGATATGGTTTTTAGTGGAAAACAAATGTGCAGACGTATTTGTATGGGCTAGATGCCGAACTTTTTTATCCTTGAAGTCAGTAAGAGAATCTGCAATGCAAACAATCTCCTTTCCTGCTACTTTTTGAGCAATATCATGCATGAGATCGTGTATCTTACAAGAGAGAATCTCACCATAGTCATCATGTTCTACATCTTGAAAAAAGCATCTCCGGAGTAATATAGAAAAATACTCCTCTGCAGCATCCTCCATTCTTTGACCATCATCTAATGGAACATTGTATCCCTGTGCCATCCAAAGGCTTAATAACAATTTCTTCTCTATTACAAAGTCCTTCGGGAACAAAGCGCAATATGCAAAACAACTCTTCAATGGGGATTCTAGCTGCTGGTAACTAAGCTTTAGTACAGGCATGATGTCATTTTTTCTTTCTTTAAAGTTGCACAATCCGATGGATTGAAATGATAGCCACATACTCTTGTCTTGACCATACAAAAGACTTCCAGCCACTCTTATAGCAAGAGGGACTCTGGCACATCCTTCAACAATCTCTTGACCAATCTTGACAAAATCATCATGGGGGTTAGACTGTTCTGATCCAAATGCCGTCTTTTTGAACAAACGCTACGAATTCTCCTTTGACAAGCCTTGCAACACATGTGTCGGACCATCTCCTATAACTCTTGCTGTTTCATGAGAGCGTGTAGTCACCACAATCCAACTTCCCCTCTGATCTCCAAGCAAAAATTCTACCAACTTAATCCAATGATTGCGATTCTCAGTCCATACATCATCTAAGACAAGCAAGTATCTATTACTAGCAAGTTTTTCTCGAAGTTGAGTTTGCAGCCAATCTTTGCTAGAACCCTCATGCTTCTGACCCGTAGCTGAAGCCAAAATCTGACTGAGGATCTGCTCTACATTTAACTGATTCTGATCATGATCAGAGACACAAGTCCACAACCTCGACGAGAATGCACTTTTGACCCTTGCATCATTATACACAAGTTGGGCAAGAGCAGTTTTCCCCAACCCACCTCCCACAATAGTAAGGAAAGAAACATCCTGTTGAACATGAGAATCAACCAACAAACCTACGATCTTCTCCACATCATCCTCTCTCCCAATGATATTACCCTCGTACACATAAGAACAAGTCCCCTCCCTTCTCCTTCTTATAGATTGAGAGTCAACACTAAAACCAAACTGATTATGATTAATGGCAATAGCATCCAACTTCTTCCTAATCTTCTTAACCCCTTGAGACATATTGTAAGCAACCCCAAGTGAATTGTAACGAGAAAAGAAAAGACGCACCTTTTTAGAGGCTTTCCCACTCTCCTTGAGCTTCTTTTGCTCAGCGAGAGTGATAAACTCATTGAGAAGATCATCATAATATAAACTGCATCCTTGAGCTCCTGAATCCAGAGTTCTGCTTCATGGGAGACCTCTTGTTTGACCTCAGCATCACGGAGCACAGCCTTAACAGTGGAGACAGTGCGTAGGAGATCATCAAGTTGGGATTTATAGCCAAATATGGAGCACATCTCTTTCAGTTCTGAACATTGCAGGGCTGCAAACAGAGTTTGAGCAATAGACAGTGTTGTTCCCAAGTTAATATTTGGTTACAGAAGTGAGCACAGGAATTTGAGGGGTTAATGGTAGATAGCTGAATCTAGGAGATAATAGTGGAAAAAGGGCTTTACTAGATGTCCAATGGTAACTGACATTCAAGGACTAGTTTGTACCCTGAATAATTCAGTACAATATGAAGAATCTGGGATTTTATTATTAAGAATCCTTTTGAGGCTTTGATAGTACATATTCATGATTAGATAATAATAAAAAAAAAAATGGTACTAAGCACTGCCCCTTGTTTTATTTAAGGTCATCCCTAAAACATTGTCTCCATTCGTTTTATGATCATGGGGTCCATGGGGAACACAACTTACTCTCATTTTGTCTCATGAACAAATTATACATTTTTTGGCCCCCACTACTTTATCTCTTAATCAACCCCTACTCAACTATAAATTAAAATAAGTAAAAATGGCTAGGGGAAAACAATTGGGGACTCACTCCATAAGCTGAAGAATACATTGATGAGTACTTCCTCTGTTATAAAGAGAGAAAGTTGTTTAGAGACATTGGTTTTATTATGTAGGTGGTCAAGGTGGACCATTGTGGGTGCTCTTATGTTATAACTTGCACACACCCGTCAAAAAATAAATAAATAAATAAAAACTTGCATACAATTTAATTTAGTACTATAAAGGTATTGAAAACACATATAAAGTGTTAAATGTCTTTTAAAAAATTAACAGTTGCACAATAAATAAAAAAAATAAAAAAAAGAGTAGCAGTTGCCCCGGATCATACACTAGTTATTATATTACTACGGGCATGTTCCGATTTACTGAAAACAACTTAATTAATTGGAATTGAACTGACCTGGATTGAATAAAGCTGAAATGAATTGTTTATGAGATTGAAATTAGGAAGTGAACTGATTGGAGCTGAACTGAAATTGAGTTGAACTAAACTGAACTGAAATTAAGTTGAACAAAACAAGCCATACGAGTATAAGCTAATTTACGGTGTTTGGTGAAAAGCTACTCCATAAATAAGCTTTTTTACAATCGTGATCAACTTCCACCAAATAAACTCTTTTACAATAAGTTTATCTTGGGAGAATTGTTAGGAGATCATGGTGGGATTAGCAAAGAGAACGCTTATTTGGTGTTGGTGCTCATATGCATTTATGTGACGGGTTTCGAATAGTCTTGGGAGCCATTAGGATGGTTAGTCTCTAGCGAAATATTTAGGCTTGAAATAAAATCTGCAGCACAATTATTACAATAGCGCCTAGTTTTATCTTCACTTTTATCATAGCTCAAACATTTGTAGCCATGCTTTGTTGATTTCAAGCTAGGATGTTCTTCTTCTTTGGTGGGTGCTGGGTGGGTTTTGTTTATGAACTTATGACGGGGTTTGTATACTTGTAAACTTGTTTTTGCCACAAACCAAGGGTATTCCTCATGAGAAGATGGATCGTATTTGGAAGGATCATTGGTTTTGGGGTAAAATTGTTGGTTGAAAAATTTCTTAACATGTATAAAAACAAGTAATACTATATGGAGTGCGATTTATCATTTTGACAAACATTGATTATTATATGGAATTTTTTATTTATTATGATAGATCTTATGTATTTATTTAATCATTTGAGCTCTATAATCATAATAGACAAGCAATCAAAAATACCAAACTTCTATTCAACAAATGTTAGTAGCCAAATATGTTTTTTTTATCTTTTAAATACGATTCTAATTAGATGTGTCAATTGGATGTCTGAGTCGGGTTTAATGAGGTTGGATTGGATCATTTCAAACTTGAGTCATGCTTAATCACTATGACCATGCAAATCGAAATTTAAACTGAAATTTTTTTGGGTTCGATTAGGTCAAATTTTGATACTTCTAATTTTAAGCTAATTTTCCGAACGGGTATACATAATAGACGTAAAAGGTAAAACTGTAAAAGGATAAAAATATTAAAGCCCTACTCTTCGACTATTCCAGGATTCCAGCGCAAATCCAGCCCATCATATCTAGCAAACGTCGTCGTTTAATGTCTTACTGCGCTTACTCTTCCAGTTGTTCAATTTCTTTGAATACTAAAATTCATGAAAATAATTGCTTTTTTAGAAAAAAAATCAAAATAAAAGTCCAAATTCAAAATTCGAAAATCCTAAGTTTCCACTAATCACCTTTTCCCCTCCACCAAATCAACCCTACTTGGTGGCGATTTACTGGATTAACCCATTCTAGCTGCTGGTATTTATTTTTATTTTTTGTTTTTCTGAATTTCTTTTACCTGATTAATCAATAATTCAATTATTATTTTTTTTTTCGATTTCCATGATTGTTGAAGATTTTAGCAAGAACCATTTGTAAAGAAAGTAATTTACAGAAAATAAAAATTGTTTTTTTTTGCTATTCAAGTTTTTGTTTTTTTGCTATTCAAGTTTTTGTTTTTTTGTTTTTGTTTTTATTTTTTTTGGATATATTGTTCCTGTAAAATTACATGTTCTAGGTTAGATGATGTTATGAAATGGGTAGAAGTTTGTATCCTGTATTAGTTGATAAAATTTTATTATTAGATGTTATTGGAATCAATTATGATACATCACCAAAGTTCAAAATTGTTGTGTTTGATCTAGTATTATTGAATTCACTAATTGCTTTTAATCTAATTTTAGTGTTATTGGATTGTGGAGATGCTGAAATTAGGTTTTTGTGATCGGTCTGTTTTTGGAAAAGAATTGAATTCTTGGGTTAGGGCCTATAGGTGGTTGAACAAGAATTGGACCCTAATTGATCATGTTGAAGTTTCCAGTGCCGAAGCGAATTGTGATCATGTTGAAGTTTCCAGTACCGAAGCGATTTGTAACAGTTAATCTTTGCTTGTGGTGAACAAGTAGGAATAGAATTAATTGGCCTAGTGGAAAAAAGATAAGGGCATATGGCTAATGTGGAATTATAGTATTTACACATTATTGCAACTGTTTTAGACTTTTAGGAAATTTGTCTTTGATTTTTTCGACAACTTGTTTTGGGTTTGTAAGAGGTAATTGATGAGCCATCGGTTAGGAGTACATGTTGTTAGGGATTGGAGGAGGTACTGAACTAAGTATTGATTTAGGATGAAGTCAGCATGTGTTGATATTTTGGGTGTGTTATGACAGGTTCAGCTAATAACACGTGTGGGTAGTTGTACGTGTCTTTTGGGTTGAAACTCAATGCCTTCTATGATATCTCCTCAGTGGCAAGACAAGGCTAGTGGGTTTTTTTCTGCCTCAGGTAGATTCTGTACTATTAAACTTATAGATTTTAAGTGTGGTGTTGTTACGTGACTAAGTGTTAGATTGGAGTAATCATGATCGATTTTGCAATATAGGGGTTAAACTAAAGGAAGCTGGGAATCAGGCTGGATCTTTAGCTAAGGATGCAAAAGAGAACGTGGTTGATGCAGCTGAACGAGTTGGTTCTGTCGTTAAGAGTAAATGGTCACTATTCCAGCAACCATCTACTAAGCAAGCTGTGCAGGAGCGGTTTCTTTCAGCTGCTGCTTCAACAAGCTTTTTCTTAAGGAAAGGAATCTCTGAAACTAAAGACAAAGTTTCTGTAGGAAAGATAAAAGTTGAGGAGGTATCATGATGTGTATCACTTTCTTATGCCTTTCTATCATTTAGTTCTAGCAATTGATGTATACTTTGTACTAAGATTTTTTTAGTCTTTTGGCAATATCTGCCTGTGCTAAGGTGGTGAGCTTATCTTGTAGTATTGCACTCTATTATGGGACAAATTGAAGCTTAGGACGTCATATATTTACAAGTTGCAGCTTACTGAATGTTAATATTCATTTAGTTTCTATAAGACCAATCTTGAAGCCTATTTTATTTAGCTTATACTATGTGAACCAGGTTTATTTGTTGCTGCAAATCTTTTACTCTAGTTTTAGGATGTGTCTTTGGTGTTTCGAGGTATTATAATCTACTTGTCATTTTATTGATGTCATTTCATGGCAACTCTGCAGGTGGCTAAGAAAACTGCTCAAAGAAGTAAATCCTTTATATCAGATATTGAAAGATGGCAAAAGGTTTAATTCTCTAGTTCTTTTTTAATTCAGGATTGGGTTTTTCTTTCAGAATCTTACCTTCAATTGTTTTTCTGTCTTCTTGCAGGGTGTTGCAAGCAGTGATGGTAATGCATTTATCTTCATTACTTTTAGCTGTTGTTGTTGTGTTTTTATTTTTTTATTTTTTTTATTTACAATATCTGTCTGTGCTGCCTAATACATTCAGTTTTTCCTTGTAGATTAGTGTTCTTTTTTTTTTTATTTGAAGAACTTCAACGTAAGACTGAAGTATGGTAGAGCTTTAAACTTTGGTCTGTCGCTGTCTTAATTTAATACTATGACTGGTTTGTATGTATTACTGATTAATTTAGTAATTAGATCTGCCCTGCATAATTTCATAGTTTAGGTTTATTGGGGATGTCGAGTTAACACTCAAACATAGTATATGGAATCAGAGTGGGAAGCTTCTTTGAGGCTTTGGGCCCCCACTTTTAACGTGTTGAAGTCTTGAAGAAGAGTGAGCTTCTGGTTGCATGCTTAAGGACAAGTCACAAACTCACAATATAGGGAAGTGGAAGATTACTGTTTAGTTGTACTGTATTTTGGTTCAATTTAAATGAGCTTAACTCATTAAAATATAATTTCGTCTTTGACTTTCCACTTTGATTTTGGGTGGAGGTTGGAGAATGACCTTAGCTCACTCTTTGAACTTATAAGTAAGACTATTGCAGTTTCTGGAGGAGAGATATAGAAAGGAACTTTGATGAGAAAGGTAGTTATGCAAGGGAATTTGTTTTTGAAACATGGGAGGGTGTCTGCTCTAATTACTAATTGTAAATCTTTAAAAAAAAATGATTGTATTGTTTTCCTTTTTATCCTACATAGTACATATCCTATTTTGAGTCTTCCCAAAGTCGTGGAAACCTTTTGTTTGATTTTTGATAAATAAAGTCATACAAAACCTGGTGTAATTTTTTAGCATTTTTGACTATCTCGTATGAGTAAGATTATTAAATATATTATGTCTCCAGTATTTGGAATTGCACTAGAAATTACAGTGCAGCAGCAGCAGCAACAACAACAGCAATCCAGTAGGCCCATTCCCCAGATTTTGGTCAGATGTGCAGATTATCTTATAGCGTCAGGTCATTATAGCCACTTGAGTTATTTTATTTTGTATTTCGGTTGTATTTGTTTTGTATCTGCAGGATCAAAAGAGAGGGTTTTTATTCTATTTTCTTCCACTTGTGCTGCAGGGCTTAGTTCACCTTATTTGTTTAAATTGGAGGGAGACAAGAAGGCAATTCAGCAACTTGTTTCATTATACAACCAAGGTTCAACATATTTCTGCTTACTTTGGCCAAAATATTTTCTGACTTCATGATGGTTCACATGTTGACATTTAATTTCAGAGCCCAATGCATTGCCACCAGATGGCACGAATTCACTTGACATTGCATTCTTAATTAAATGTTACCTTGCAAGTCTTCCCGAGCCAGTAACCACTTTTGAGCTCTATGATGAGATCAGAAGTGCTCGTTCGAGTATCAATGTTATTAGGAGTGTGTTAAAGAAGCTTCCTACTGTAAATTACATGACTCTGGAGTTTGTTACTGCACTCTTGCTCCGCGTTAGCCAGAAGTCAGTTCTCAACAAGGCATGAACCACATAACCGCTTTTTACTTTAAATATTTCTTGCCGAGCTTGGCTGATATTTGGCTTCTGTTGATTCATTATTATATATTCACTTTTAAAAATTCATGTTTACATGTTATCCTTATCCTTCAATTCAGCATTCAATACTTAATTAGTTTTATGTAACCAGTATTTCACGTTTTACTCTGGCTATTATTTTTCATAAACTCCCATACTTTAAAGTTGTGCTTTCCTGATTGAATGAGTATCTCTGTCGTCCCATTTTATCCTCATATCTCATAGATCTTTTTGCCAAATATTGGTCTTAGTTTTCCATTTGATGATTTTCCTCTTGTATTAGATAATGAGCACTAACTGCTGAGTCATTTTACTGAACAGAACCTCACTTTGAATGTAGTATTTCTATTTTCTCTTTGCCTTGATGATAACAATTGTCTTTTGGATCTCTACAGATGGGTGCTCAAAGTCTTTCTGAGGAAATGGCACCTCTTATTATCTGGCAGAAGGAAAGGAGGCCAGAATCATATAGGCAGTTCTGGCATCATGAGACTAAAGCTTTCACTAGAAAGAAAAGCGATTTGCCCACTGGGCCCCCTACTTACGGCTCATGGGACATGCTTGGTGAGTAATTGAGTGTCTCTGTTGTGAACATCACTTTGTCTCTTATGGTGCAAGAATTGTCTATTCATGGTTGGAAGTATCTCTAATGTTGTTTGTTTAAGAGTGACATTATTTCTGATCGTATAATTGATTGTTTTATGATGAACTTCAGTAACTACTATCTGCAGGATGGTACCAATTGATTTTTGGTATATAAAATATTGTGATAGATTTTGTGTAGAGATGTAAATTGTTAGATTGGCATGTCAACATTATGTTGAGGGTTAAAGTGACCTCCTGTATGTTGATTAAACTGTCATATTAAGTAAACCTAGATGTGTGCAAGCAGTGCAACACATGAGATGCATAATACCTAGTACATTTTTTGTTTGAACCATTATTTTCACCCACTATCTGCTATATCTAAGGGCAACAAGGACTGAATTAGACAACACTAATTTTGTTTAAAATTTTGTAGAGCTTGTGTCATTTATTTTCCTCCTCTGTTCTATAGTCTATATGTGTCATAACAAGAAAGTCTGCAATCATTGTGAAGAGTAGTTTTGTTTTTGTGAGGCGTTGAGTAATGGTATGCACTTTTTGCTGATCTAACATGGTCTTTAGTTGTGATCTCATTTTGGTTTGAGGTGTAATAGATAGGTAACATGTGGATGAGGTTAGGTGACTTAACTATTAATCTTTATGAAGCAAGCATACTGAAGGCTTGGATGGAATATTTAGTCAATTAGAATTGATATACACAGATGATAACAAATATTCTAGGTGGTCCTGTAAAGCTGTAATTTATTCTCTGCCCTGAACTCTAGTGATCATTGCCTAGATCCTAGTCCACTTGATAGTGAAATAAGAATTTTGGTTTTTGAAAGTCTGAATACAGATAATTTCATAAAAAATCCTCTTTCTGCTATGTTAAATGTAAAGATTTGGAGGGAAAGGGCAGAAAGGAAAATTGAGGGTTATTTTATCTCTTATCTGGAAATAACACGGAGGACAGGAAGGGAATTGGAGGGATCTGTTAACCTTCACTCCATTGATGGAATTATTTTCCAGACACAATATTTAATTAATACGGCTTTTTAGCTACTTGTAGTCATGTAGATATGATGCTTACTAAAGCTGGGTTTATGTTTTCTGTTTGTTTTTATGGTTCTTATTCTTTATTTTTGAACTGGTATTAATTTGGACATTGAAAAGATAGCACATATAGCAATGCAAACCATTAGTTTGATATGTATTTCTAGCAAGTATAATTGTTCTGACGAATTGCTTGTCTTATATTTCTGGCTTCAGAGGAGAGCGAAGATGAAGAAGATGCTTCATCCCCCATTCCATTGGATGATGGCTTACCCATTGACTTTGCTGCAGTTGAGGTCATTCGGTGCCTCATAGAGCATCACAACTCAATTTTCACTGATGCCAATGAGACAGTCTGGAGATGATGTTGATGAAGTTGTGTTTGTGCTTACAGCTTTGTATAAAGGGCGTCTCTCTCTTGATTCATTGAGGGGGTATCAAGGGGGATCGAGTTGTAGATTGGTTAATTGTACATATTTAGTATTTGTGTGTGGTGAATGGTGATCCATCTCTGTTGTTTTGTGTGTCTTTCCCTTTCCATGCCCCTTTGCTCATTCTTCTTAGCCATTTTTGTGGGTAACACTTGCACAGATTGATTTGTCAATTGTAACATTGGGAATTTGGTATCAGCTTGTATTTTCAATTTTAATTCCAAAACAATGATCTTTAAGACTCTTACTCACTGAAATCATGATGACAATTAGTCAATGGTGGTTTTTTTTTTTTATTTATTTTTTATTTTTTATATTACTACATCTACATAAGTTAAGTATTTTACTACGTAATACTAATCCGGGGCGTTTGGATTGTGGGAATGGGAGTTTGGCGATTAAAAGCTGGGAATGGGATTGAGATTTAATTGATGGGAATACATGAAAATATGTCAATACCGTGGGTGGGAATATATAGGGAATAAATAACAATTTTACAAAAATACCTTTACTAGGATTATTATTTCATTATTTTCATTAATGGCAGAAATATCATTTTTCTCCGATTCTCATTACCATCCATTTATTACCTACCCTCCATAGATAATAAAAAAGGTGGGAATTCACCCATAAATAATCCCCATTTCCAAACCCCTTTTTATTCCCATTCCCACCAAACAAACAAGGCTTATTTTTTATATTGGGATTAAAACTCCCAATCCCACCTTCAATTCCCACTTACCAAACACCCCCATCGTGTTCGAAGGGTTTTAAATTTTTAATGTGTGCTCTGTATACTTATAACATATCAACTCAATATTTTACTTGTATTAAGGGTTATCTGTATACTACTATACCCTTACTTTGATAGAGTATATCTCAACAATACACTTGTGGAGTTGTGGTTTTAAGAGTGTCAAAGATGCTCTACCCGCCCAAAAACATGGTGTTTGGCCTAGTTTTAGCTTTTGGATCCTAGAAATTCCCTTAGAAGCTTGGCCAAACACGCTCTAAGTTTCTAACCATTATCAGTTCTGTTATTTCCAAACCAATATCCGAATACTCGGATATAAAAAACTACTATTCAAAAATTTCGGATATATGATATCAGAAATCATTCAGATCAGATACTTTGAATACCTATTGTAGTATTATCCTATTTGTATTAATTAAAATTGGTTACTAGTATCATTTTGTGTATTGGGTCAAACCAACCCACCCGATAACCCACTTTTGATAACTCTGATAAATCAATTCCCTGTTTTGGGTGTCACCCCAGAAAGAATCTGAATGGCGACTGCTGGGTTTAAGTCCCTCCTTATTACTACACTGCTTGTTACAGTAGTACTTCATCCTTCTCAAAGTTCAATTTTTGTTTATCTTTAATTTCTGGGTTTTTGTCAATTTTAATCATTAAGTCATTGATAATGATTATTGGGTTGTATCTTGTATGTATGTTTATTAGGTTGTCGCAAATGATGTTGAGAATAATGGGAAATACCCAATTGTGGTAAGCACTTGGCCGTTTGTGGATGCTGTTAGGGCTGCTTGGAGAGCTGTTGATGGAGGTTTTTCAGCCGTTGATGCTGTTGTTGAAGGTTGTTCTGCTTGTGAAGAACTCAGATGTGATGGTACAGGTATAATCTTCATAAATTATCTTCATTTATAACTTTGAGTTTCATATTTTTGAGGAAATTGTGTGATTTCTGTAATTCATTCATCATAATTTGCTCATAAATTGTTGCAAAGTTAAAATTGGGCACCTGAGTAAAATTAGTAATATGAAGTTTTTAATTGTACATAGTATGTTTTGGAACTGAATAATTTCTGGAGGGTGAGCTTGAAATGTGTTTAGTTGTCAATATTAAGATTTAGAAGGTTATGGCTTATTTCTTCTAAAAAGAAGATTATGGCTTATGATTTGGTGTTTTTGTTAAGAAAATAATGCAAATTTTCTATTTAATCAAATTTGAGGGAGAAATAAATTACATAAACAAAATGTCTATTTAACCCCTCTTTTCTCTGAGTTATTTTTCTTCTCTCAGATTTTCTCTTGAAATTTGATTAAATAGAAAATTTGTATTATTTTCTTAACAATTGGTATCAGAGCTACCGATCCACCTTCCGACATCCTCAAACTAAACAACCGCCTCATCAAATGAACTTTATTGGAGGCTGATGGCTTCTCATACATATTAGAGAGAGCTTTCATGAGACCTGCCGTTGTGGTTTCCTTTGCAATGTTAAACGCCACATTGCGTGATAACGTCAATCGAATAACTCCGAGTGCTTGTCTATCTAAAAGCTTCCATTCTGCTTCTTGATAGAGTTTTTTCTGGTATAAATAATCTTCAATCTGCATTTTCCAAAATCCGAAATCTTTACCATCGAATTTTTTCAAGTTTAACTTCTCCGTTGTCTGCAACCATTTCTCCCACTCAAATTTGACTTTTTCTTTTAGGATCGTTTTTATTTTTATCGTAATGTGGACTAATTGTCAACCAAGCTCTGATACCAATTGTTAAGAAAATAATGCAAATTTTCTATTTAATCAAATTTGAGGGAGAAATAAATTACATAAACAAAATGTCTATTTATACCAAAGTGCAAAAAAACACAACCCCTCTTTTCTCTGTAATTTATTTCTCCCTCAAATTTGATTAAATAGAAAATTTGCATTATTTTCTTAACAGTTTTGTAAATATTGTGTTAGTTTGGCTTACCGGGTGGTTTAGAAGTGTATATATCGTGTTAGTTTAGCTATGCATCAAGTGTATGACTCTTGATGCATAGCTTATGTATGAGCTTCCACTACATGTCTTCCCCGCATTCGAAGAGTGAACTTGTGCTATCAAGAACAATAATTTTTTTTTTCTTGATATATCAGTTGTGTGGTTGCTCTGTTGTTATGTATAGAGAGCTTATGATTGTGAAACGAAAACAAAATAATAAATGCAATCATCTGAATTATGTTAAGGTTGGTAGGGGTGAGATGATAACATGTATAAATGTATTTAGCCTTACTTCTAACAAATATAGTACATAGGTTGTCTTTGAAAAATTCGTTGGAAAATATTTTTGATAGGAAATATGAAAAACAAAGATCATATTCCTAAAGGTAGCACATTAAGAATGGAAATATCGATAGTTATGCTATTACCAGCTAATCATCATGATAATAATGATGATGTTAGTATTAATAGTTTGAAATCAAGGATTGTGGCCATAAGGCACCCTCTCTTGAACTGTCTTTTGTTGGTTTACTTATACTCATGTGTGAGCCCTCTGTGGCCAACATTAATTTTAGTAATTTGAAAGTTTGTGCACTCACTTTCCCTTTCTACTGCTGTAGTTTGATGGGGTTAGTACCAGTAACATTTGAATCTTTCTGCCTTATGTGGATCGTGTGGTGGCTTCATAGTATATAAGTTTCTAGTATTAAGTTGTAACTGTAACGGTAAGGTCGGTTACTAGCAGGTCTCAGTGATATTGAAAACTGACTGAATAAATTTTAGTTTTCGGCTTTTAGAATTTAGATTGTACATGTAATGTGGAATATAAAGTTGAACCATATGGTTGAGAATCTTGAGAAGTGATAGAATGTTGAAATGTGTCTTTGTGTTTGCACAGTTGGACCTGGTGGTAGTCCAGATGAGAATGGAGAAACAACTTTGGATGCTTTGATAATGAATGGGGTAGCAAAATTATTTCTTGCTCCCTTTTTACATGTATGCATGTTGTAGACATTAGCTCAATTTTTATTTGTTTTCTAAAGCATTTCATAGGCATCTATGGAGATTGGTGCTGTTGCTGCCATGAGATATGTGAAAGATGGTATTAGAGCTGCAAGATTAGTGATGCAATATACCGAGCATACTTTGTTAGTTGGAGAGCAAGCATCACTATTTGCCATTTCAATGGGTCTTCGGGGACCTATGAACCTCAGCTCTGAGGATTCATTGCACAAGTGGACTAAATGGAAAGAGAGTGACTGTCAGCCGAATTTTCGAAAGAACGTTTCCCCTTCAAACAGTTGTGGTCCTTACCATCCGACCAAAAAGGTTGGTTTTGGAGAGACGTCATGTCCTGCTGCAAATCTGGTAGAAACTTCAACTAGAAATATTACGCCTATTAACATCCACAACCATGACACTATTTCAATGGCTGTTATCGATAAGGTATGCTCTTCATGGCTAACCTACCTTGATTCCTTTAGTCAGTTTAGACTATTTTGAATTGTAATTGATACATTCTGTGATTAGAATAACTTAGCATCTGTAATTTTTATAGATGGGACATGTTGCTGTTGGTACATCTACTAATGGAGCAACTTTTAAAATCCCTGGCAGGTAATTTGGATTATACTCACTACCATAGTGTTAAGTATAGTTAGTGTTTTATTTTATTTTATTTTGTTTTATTTTTTACTGCTTAAAAAAATATATATAGATGAGATAGGTGTGAATTAGACTGGTTCTTAATTTCAGATTTCTGCATATATATAAGGAATGATACTTGTATATTTGTTCTTGTGATTTTGTGAATGTTAGAGCTACTTGTTGGAGCCTTATGTTTCAATTATTTTTAGGGACCAATAGTGGTTGTTACTTGTTAGAGGGTTGAAACTTTGGGAGAGGGAGGTATTGCAAGAAGCTTACCGTCTGTTATATTTTCCCCTGAAACAACTTAGTCTTCTTAATGATCCGAAGAAGTTTGTAACGTCTAATTGTATCTCATGCTCCAACGTATATGCAGTGCTATCATATGTGGGCCTATATTTTTATATAGTTGTTGGGTTGCTTTAGTATTTGGGTATCATTGTATGCTGACAGGATAATGCCATTGCAACCAGGGTCGGTGATGGTCCTATTCCTGGGTCTTCAGCATATGCTGATGATGAAGTGGGTGCATGTGGTGCAACAGGAGATGGCGATATTATGATGCGCTTCCTTCCATGGTTAGTTTACAGAACTTGTTGCTTAGGATCTGCATTATATTATGACTCAAGTATTTTAACACTCTCAGGCTCTCAGCTTTAATATAAGATCACATATACTTGCTTAATTATTAAGTTGCTAGGAAAAATGAACAAAAAAGTGAAATTTTTTGAATACTAGAGATACGAATTTATCTTTGTTTGATGAACAGCTACCAAGTTATTGAGAGTATGAGACAAGGAATGGAACCTAAATTAGCTGCTGAGAACGCGATATCCAGAATTGCTAGAAAGTTTCCCAAATTTGTTGGAGCTGTCTTTGCAGTGAGCAAGAATGGCGTACATGCAGGTGCTTGCCATGGATGGACATTTCAGTACTCGGTTAGACTTTCAAGCATGGACGACGTGGAGGTGTACACAATCATGCCTCAAATTGCAACTGCCAATGTTTGACAAAAGGCTCAAATGCTTATTGAGCATTACACCTGTTGTTTCCGTTCAGACTGAACTATTATGTATGTACTACTCCATATTTACTCATACTTAAATTCCTAGATTTCCCTTGAGAAAAAAAAAGTGCACAAAATATGGAGGTACATAGTACATAATAAGTGAGAAAAGATAAGGATCTAGGAGGTGAAGGGACTAACCTCCATCTCCCTCCCGTGTGACAGGGGTTTGAACCTCGCCCCCCTCCTGTGATAGGAGGGGGTTCCCCGTGTACCTTACCTGTAAAAAAAAAAAAAAAAAAAAAAAAAAAGTGAAAAGATTTTTTTAAAAAATAAAAACTTTTTTTAAAAATGTGAGAAAAGATAAAAATTAGAGGTTAGAAAAGATAAAATTTAGTAGGAAACTATCCTCTTATAATAAATAAATAGACAAATTACTAATAGGAAACTATCCTTATAGTTGTAAACTACTTACCTTAAGTAAACTTCTACGTATATTATATTATCTTCCAAATATACTCGTATGATATATTGATATCTTACTGTAATGCTGTACAATTATATATATGGGTGCTGATATTGCCAAGGCAAAAAAATCACTTCCAAGACAAATTATTTACCCGATATCCATAATATTTGAGAATCTTAATTTGTCAAACTTATAAATTCAATAAAATACATTGTAATATTTTGTTGCTGATAATAATAGTAGCTACAATTAAAATCTTTTCAACTCTAACTACTCGGTACTAATTATTCTCGTCAAAATATGCAATTAATTGAAATATTCACTATCATAAACTCATTAATTTAATATTTTATTGGGAGAGACACCATTATCAAAGCTTTGCAGATATTAGCTACCTCTAAACGTTTATAATTGACTATTAATTAGTAAAGGTACTTTCATGTTAACTTAAGATATACTGATGTTCTACTTTTATTATTAAATTTGCCATTGAAACAAAATTTCATATTTACTTTTTTAGGTGTTATTTTTTAATTTTATTTTTAATTATTATTATTAAATTTGCCATTGAAACAATCAAACAAATAATAGCACTATGTTTGTATATTAACGTGGGATACTTCAATTCTCAAACTCTTAAAATCTAGTTAGGATTGGTAGAAAAAGGTTTTTAATTATTTATCATATTCATTGGCAGATTAATGCTAATTATATAATGATGGAAGAAGATGTGCTATTGGAAGTTTTGCGTTATATCCATTACAATCATCAATTCAACTTTTGATTATATTTTGATTCTTCTAATATCGATTATTAGAATGAATTAATTAACAAAAAAGTATATGTGCATGCATATAGTAGTGGTATGTACTTTGTGTATAGAACGGGATTACGGGAACAAATAAGAATAATGTTGCATATCTTTACAAAAATATGTATAAATACAAATGAATCCAATAAGTAAGAAGAGTGTAAGACTACTCAAAAAACTACTCAAACATAAAATAAAAAAAATATTTAGCTACTATTATTTTTGGCAATAAAATATTACAAAGTATTTTATTGAATTAATAAGTTTGACATATTAAGACTCTCAAAGATTATGGGTATAATAATTTGCCTTTAAAGTGACTTTTTTGCTTTGGCAATATCAGCGCCCATATATATATACTACGTATATTGCTAAATCAAATATCAGAATTCAGAAATTGTTCAAATTTATAATTGATGGGAAGTATAATCATCATTAGGACAGTATGTATGAGCGCGGTAGCAATAGCAGCGTTCATGGAAGTAAAACGATGTTGGTCTAATAATAATAATAAGAAGCCATTATTACCATTGAATCCAGAAGAGGATGATGATGAAGTGCAGGTTGGCCTTAATAAGCCAAGAATTAGTTTGAATTCTATACCTCCGGAGTTGATAGAGTTAATCTTAAGTAAAGTCGATGACATTATAAGCCTTTGTCGCTGCTCCATTGTCTCTCGTCAAATGTATGATATTGTTACATGTAAGAGGGCCATCTACTTTACCATGCCAAGGTCGTTAATTAACTACCCAAAAGTGTCGCCGCCGTCATGGGCGTCATCATTCTCTATCGTCATGTGTCCGTTCCCTCCAAAATTAATCCAGCATGAAGTTGATCGTTGTATATTGTCGGTGAATCAAAAGAAATTATGTGATTTTTTTACAAGGTTTTCGCTTCTTGAGTCTGTGTTTGTTCAACTCCCGCCTCAACCCGTAACCTCAGCTGATTCCTGGTTTAGGTGGGATTCTCAAATCAATGTTACCTCGCATAATTCAAGTTATTATTTTATTTCTGTTGATGCTACCATCATCAATAATACAAGTAATAATAATAATAAGGAAATTTTGATTTTTGCTACCTATCAAACACATCAAATTGAATTTTGCTACTTTTTAAAATTTTGCTACCACTGAACGGAATCGTTAAAAAATCCGTTAAGTGGGTCCATAACGACATGTGTCGTGTTATTATTGGCCAAAAAATTAAAAAAATAAATAAATTTTTTTTTAAAAAAAATAAAAAAAAAAACCTAAACTACCCAGCCACCACCCCCTTCCCCCCAACTCACCGTACCCTCCCGAAACCACCACCCGCGTCGCACCACCAGCCCCAACCCACTGAACCCTCCCCCTCCCTTTCCCGCAACCGCGTCGCCCCCAAAAACCACCAAAACTAAAACCCTAGATCCCACCACGGCCACGAATCTGGCCACAAATGGCCGAAATCGGCCGGTTTTGGGGCTCAGTGGCTTTAACCGGCCGATTTCGGTCTTTTAAGGCCAGATTCTTGGCCGTTTTTGGGGACGAGGGTTTTGGATTTAGCGGTTTTGGGAGCGACGCGGTTGCGGGAAAGGGAGGGGGAGGCTTCAGGTGGGTTGGGGCTGGTGGTGCGACGCGGGTGGTGGTTTCGGCGAGGGGTGCGGTGAGTTGGGGGGAAGGGGGTGGTAGCGCGGGGGTGGTGGCTGGGTAGTTTAGGTTTTCTTTTTATTTATTTTTAAATTTTTTTATTTTTTTAATTTTTTGGCCAATAATAACACGACACGTGTCGTTATGAACCCACTTAACGGATTCCGTTCAGGGGTAGCAAAATTTAAAAAAATGGCATATGTTAGGTAGCAAAATAAAATAAAAGTTTTGATAGGTAGTAAAATTCAATTTGATGTGTTTGATAGGTAGCAAAAATCAAAATTTCCTAATAATAATCAAAGTGCTCCGGTTGTATGGCCAGTCACGTACAAAGAGGCTACTCGAAGAGGGGACGTGACATGGAGGCACTTGAAGCTCCATGCTAATACGGTTCTAACACAATTTCCATCCATGAAAATCAATCCTAGCGGAAAGGCATTATATCAGCACCCTAGGTTGAAAACGATTGTGAGCAAAGACAATGACACTAATGGTAATAGTAACGGGAGGCTAACTTTATATAAAACCGATAAAGATGAAGATAAAGATAAATTATATGGATGCAAATTTTGTTATGTGTATAATGAACTGGAGTTGAAGGCTAGTGGTGTCACCATAAAAGATGCATGGCTTTGGTTTTACTACTATGACAAAGGACGCGTTGAAGGTGATGATGACGGTGATGATTTTAGCAACGCAACACATGAAGATGATCTTATCAAGTCTTGCTTCGATAGAGGGGATTATTTAAGAGAAGAGCTTAAAGAAGCTATTACGAAAATACTCGGTCATATCAACACGTTACACTTCTCGCGCCCTTTGGGGATAGTCCAATCACAGAGTATCCTCAACAAGTTGTTAAACTTATAAGCATAGCATACCTTTACAAAGATGAATACCTATGATTCCATCTTGTTTCTGCCTTAGGAGATGCGGGGCGGGGCGAGTCTAGGGGCCGTGATCAAAGATGGGAATGGGGCTTTGCTGTTGGCAGGAAACTTGGGGTATAGGGACTTGGTGCTTGAGTGTGATGATGCCATCAATGTGGTTCGTGTGATTAAACAACTAGCAACAGGAAGGAGCTGCTCTTATCTTCTTATTCTTTGAGGATATTTTCGGAATTTGAAATTCTCTTTATAGCTTCAATTGCATTTATGTTAAATGATCCGGTAATACAGTTGCCCACTTAGTTGGGACGATTTAGGTATATTTACAAAATTATTGTCCACGTAGGATCGAAAGTACGTTTAGGTCTATTTTATTTTTTAAAAGACAAACCGCTACTTTAGATAGTGGTATTCTAAGTAGCAGTTTTCCTTAATTTTTTATAATAGATCTTGTTAGATTCGTCTCATCATAAACTTTTTCAAACATGTAATTTTTATAATTTTTTTTTAATACGTAATAACAATAAGTAAATGATAATCAAAAGTTATGTTCTGGTCTGATCTGATCTGATCTGAATCTTTTTGATTTGGTCTGATCTAATCTAAATTTATTAAGCAATAAGCAATCTAATATATATAAATAAAATAGGCATTTTTGAAGAGCATTGGGAGCGCCACATAAGAAATGGTATATTTTCGACCAATTAAAAATTAGATTTCTATTTTATTTTAGAATTAAAAAAATCATTCGCCACCTAAACAAAAGTGACGAATGAAATTTAAATTTTTTGCCACGTAGGTAAAAACGACGAATAGTAATTTATTAAAATTTTAATTATTTAAGAACACTAAATTTTTTCATTTTTATTTGTTACAAAACTAACAATTATCTTTATATATAAGGATTTATATTATTTAAAAAACTAAAAATTATATTTTGATATTTAAAAAATATAAATTATCATTTGATGTTAATTGGTTAAAAGACATAATATTTTCATACAAAATTTTAAAATTATAATGCAAGAAAAAAAAAATTAAGAGTATCACCAAAAAAATATTTATATAAAAAAAGGAATATAAAAATTTCTGCATCGCACGCCACATAAGCAAAAAAAATATTTCAACCAAAATTAGAATTATATATTAATTTAGAATTTAAATTTTCATCGCTATTTAAGAAAAAATTAACAAATGAAATTTGAAAACAAAAAAAATAGTAATTTAAGCTTTAAATTATGAAAAAAAAATTATGAAAAAAAAAACAAAAATTATCTTTTTTATTATCTTTTACATTAGGATTTATATTATTTTAACAAATAATTAGAAATTAAAAAATATATTTTGATTTAATGATTTTATCTAACTATCCGATGAATGAGATAATATTTATTTCAATTTAAATTATAAATTCAAGTTCTATATATGTAAAATTTGAATAAGAATAATTTAAAACTTAACAAAATTTTTTACCATAAAAACAAAAAAATATTAAGAATTACAAAAAAAAATATATACAAAATGAAATATTTAAAAATCGTGCAACGCATGAAATTAAAAAATCACTCGCCACTTAAACAAAAGTGACGAATGAAATTTTAAATTTTTGCCACGTAGGTAAAAACGACGAATAGTAATTTATTAGGATTTTAATTATTTAAGAACACTAAATTTTATCATTTTTATTTGTTACAAAACTTAAAATTATCTTTAGATATTAGGATTTATATTGTTTAAAAAACTAAAAATTATATTTTGATATTTAAAAAATATAAATTATCATTTGATGTTAATGGTTTTAGGTAAATATCTAATGATATGATATTTTCATACAAAATTTTAAAACTTATAATGCAAGAAAAAAAATTAAAAGATCACCAAAAAAATTATTTATATACAAAGGTGTATTTTCGACCAATTAAATATTAGATTTCTACTTTATTTAATTAAAAAAATCACTCGCCACTTAAACAAAAGTGACGAATGAAATTTTAAATTTTTGCCACGTAGGTAAAAACGACGAATAGTAATTTATTAGGATTTTAATTATTTAAGAACACTAAATTTTATCATTTTTATTTGTTACAAAACTAAAAATTATCTTTAGATATTAGGATTTATATTATTTAAAAAACTAAAATTTATATTTTGATATTTAAAAAATATAAATTATCATTTGATGTTAATGGTTTCATGTAAATATCTAATGATATGATATTTTCATACAAAATTTTAAAACTTATAATGCAAGAAAAAAATTAAGAGATCACCAAAAAAAAATTTTATATACAGAATGTATATAAAAATTCGTGCATCGCACGCCACATAAGCAAAAAGTAATATTTCGACCAATGAAAAATTAGATTTATATATTAATTTATAATTTAAATTTTCAGTCGCCATTTAAGAAAAAATTAACAATAGAAATTTGAGAATTGAAAAAAAACAAAAATTATCTTTTATATTATCTTTTACATTAGGATTTATATTATTTTAATAAATAATTAGAAATTAAAAAATATATTTTGATTTAATGACTTTATTTAACTATCCGATGAATGAGATAATATTTATTTCAATTTATAAATTCAAGTTCTATATAAGTAAAATTTGAATAAGAATAATTTAAAACTTAACAAAATATTTTACCTTAAATTAATGTTAAAATAATAGAATAAAAAATAAAAACAAAAAAATTAAGAAATTACAAAAAAAATATACAAAATAAAATATTTAAAAACCGTGCATCGCACGGGCTTATATCTAATAAGCATCTAAAATAAGTTGAAGAGAACAAGTTTTTAATTTATGCATTAAAATTGAATAGTAAAATTGAATTGTCTCGCCAAAAGCTACAATTGTTTTTTTTTTTTTTTAGTACGGAGTAGTAAAACAATTTGCTTTCTTTAGCTGCCTTTATTTACCAAAAATGGGAAAGAGAAATAAAAAATAGTCATTTACTCATTTTGCAACAAGAAATGTCAATCAATTTTTATTTCTTAACGATGAACATTTGACTCTGGGTTCATAAACTCCAAATTACTTGATTTTCTTCTAAATTTTCTTCAAATTATAATCTTTTCTATGATTTTCTGAAGGAGGAAATATCCTACAAAATTATGGAGGATGAAAATACTTTAGTTGCAGAAAATTCGACCTTGAATGACCATTTTAATGGCGAATTATCCGAATTAAGCTCCTCTGTATTCCTGGATCGTGTTGGCGAAGTCAATTTCTCTCTTAATTCAACTGGATTATCTTGGAAACCTGCAGATTATTCGATTGATGTAAGCCCCTTTCTCTTAATAAAAAAAAAAACAATTAATTGGGTGAAAATTATTTGTCTTCTGGTTTATATCATGGAAATTATGATTCATGGAATAATGGGTATTGTTGATATGATCATATAGATTTCATAGTTCTTCATTTTTCACTCTATGATTTTCTAGGTGTGTTTAAAATTTCAATTTTTATTGCCAATTTAGTTTTACTTAAGCCTGTGTAATCACTAATTATGGGCTGTTAGAGTTATGTAGATTAGAGAATGAGTACTTTCCAATTTTCAATGATGTATGTAATACAGGAATTAATAGAAATTTAGAATTTCCCAGCTTATTGTTTGCCATTGCCTTAGGCTTCTATCTTGTTTTGAACATGGTGCAATGAGGAATTTGTGGTTAGGGTGAGGGTTGAACAAAATAAGGAATGAGAACAATCAATTCTAGGTTTATGCTCTCTGGCTCACTAAGCACCCATTTTAAAACAATAGCCCATTAAACATGCGCGCCTCACTAATCTAATTTGAGGACAAAGGTTTGTTAGACCTTACATCTCACTCCAGTCATTGGAAAAATAAGGGTCCAAATTTTCTCTCCCCTTCCCAAAATACATGAATTACTTGGGGTAAAGCTAAAGTCTCACCATGTTGGAATCTCCATGGTTTTGTTTAATGCCATAACATACCATTACCATGATACCTCACATCAAACTCCTTAATCTAGCAGGATATGGACAATGGAGTGGTCAATTGTATGCATTTTTACCTCTGCCTCTACGATTGCAGAAAGGTTGGGAAGTTACTTATTATAACAGTCTCTGTGCTACTAATTAAAAAAAATGTGGTGGTTCATGTTCAATGTAAACATTGATCTAGCTATCTATTTCACTCAAGATATTTTTGACTCAAGATATTTTTGTTGACTTAATAGTTTTTATATTGAATTTTGAACTGGATTCTGTGGGATTCTCGCTTAACCACCATCTTTGTGAAAGCTCATTTGTACAGTGAAAAGCTGTCTTTTTTCCCTACTTATGTAGTGGGGAAAGGTTTTGGTGTTATGATTGTTTTAGTTAAGTTATTCCACTGGGAATTAATGCTTTCCAAAGGGTTCCTTCATGATACCTTAAGGCTATGTATGCCATGGATTCTATAAATCCTGCTAGTGCTGTGATCTTGACTTGGTCATTTTATTGTTTATTCCAAGTTTACAGCTATTCAGAGTGGTGGCTCTAGTTTTTCCATTGGGATAGCAGTCTATTATTCTGTTGAGATTAGCAATTGAGTAAATAAACGTACTTGGATTTGCCATTATCTTTTGATGCGCTTCTGTTTGTATTTTTATTTCAATGTAACTGTGTACTCATGGCTGGAAGTTGATGATGGACTGTTTCACAGAATAAGTCATCATGTATTGGCCGTAAATATCACATTGAAAGTGCTGCAGAAATAAACTTTTCTGATGTATATGCTGTTGAGTCGGCTGATTGGGGATCAGTTCGTCAATCAACTAGATGCTGCTTTATGCATCGGGATTCAGAGGTTAGTTTCTTGTCTTCCAACTGTAGGTTTTTTTATTTTTTAACCATGATAGTTCGTTTATCAGTCTATATGTTATATTGCAGATGTACCTTTTTGTGGTACATGCTATGCAGAGATCAAAGGCCAAGGCATCTCTCTGGCACTTGGCAGAGTACACTTTTGGTCACAGCGATCAGCTTGTATGTAAACTGATAGTGAACAAAATAAAGTCGTATCTTGCAAAGCAAATTGGAAGACCAAAGAGCCTGTTGGTATGGTTTTCTTTAAATCTTTTTCTCTTGAAGCTCATCTACAAAAAGCTGCAAACTTATTATGCTTCTTTAATGTCCTAGGTCTTTGTCAATCCTAAAAGTGGCAAGGGGAATGGTCAAAATATATGGGGGATTGTAGCTCCAATATTTTCTCGTGCTAAAGTGAGAACTCAGGTTTGTCTTTTGATCTATTTGTTTAGTTACTTTCACTGACCTATATATTCTATTGGAATTTTTGAGATAATTGTTATTGTGTTATCTATGTTGATGCATGAAGACACTTTGTTTTTTGTATCTTAACATTGTAACATATGTATGACACTATGACCATCTTTGCCATTTTATACACATTCTAAATTCTTGTTATGGTTTGTTTTTTCAAATTTTCATGTTGGCTCTTCTTTCCAATCTTTTCGTCTTTTCTCTCCCTCCCAACTGAACCTTGTCTTTCCTCTGTCACTGTCTTCTCTCCGGATATGTTGTATTATGCTAGTCTCTACCTCAAGTGCTCTTCTATGCCTTAATTTCCTTTTGAGGTGAGGATGGAGGACAGAACTAGGTGGCTGGATTTGTTTAGTATTATTGTTCAGTAAATTGGATGCAACAAATTTGGTGTGTGTCTGGTCACATAGACAGTGAGGTATATTGATCCCAGTCTTTCTCATGTAAGATGACTTTCATGCGTACTCCAGTACCCCTTATAAATTTCTGATTACAATAATCATTTTAGTTGTTGACATTCTTGACACTTATTATTTAGAAATTTCTCTGTCAGAGGTGTCTTAGGTACTTGCAGGCTTGTTCTATGATGAATGTTAATATTAGGAACAATGATGTATCATGAATCTTGATGATGTTGAACAACAACACACCTTCATTTGATACTTTGAGTCTTTTTTTAGCTGAAGTATTTGGTCTGCAGCTAACATCTTCTTTTGTCTACCATCTGTTAGGTAACAGTGACAGAGAGGGCAGGACATGCTTTCGATCTAGTGTCGTCTATGACAAACCGTGAACTGATTTCATTTGATGGTATTTTGGCTGTTGTAAGTTTGTGATTTGTTCTTTAAAGTCTTGTTAACTGATCTCCAGGCGTCCTTGAACATTTGAATGGAACCAAACTGTTACCTTAGGGCTTTTTTAATTCCAAAGTTTCAAATTTCTCATATCTGTGAGGACTTTCTTTGTCTTTTTTTTCCCCTGTTTGGTTATGATGCCAATTGCCAAACATTAATTTTCTTATCTATAATGCCATTGGCGGATCTTAGCTGAAAATATTAGAGGAGCCGGGATTTAAATCTTTTACATCTCGCTTAAAACTAATCACTATTTCCCAGTATTTTATAGATAAAATAAGGTTATTTAAGTTCATTAACTAAATTTCTGAAAAAAAGTTCATTAACTAATTATTTATCTCCGTGAAAAAAAAAGCATTAACTAATTTATTACAATAATTTACTGGGGTCGAGCCCCGAATGGCCCCGGTGGAAAGCATTCTCTCGTTATTATAAACTTCAGTTTATTTTGGTTGATGCAGTTTCTAATTTCTATGCATGTACCATTGATTTGTGTGCTCATGGGGTAATCCTATCTTTATCCTCAATTGACTATATAATTCTTGTTTCTATTGTTTGCAGGGTGGTGATGGCTTATTCAATGAAATCTTAAATGGGCTTCTCAGGTCCAGGTTCAAGACCAAATATACCCCCCTTCCTCCAGATTTTATGGCTTCTCCAGGGGAAGAATCAAGTGCCTCAGTCCCTTATCCAAGTGAAATTAATGCAGGTACTTTTAACCCCAATGAAGACCAGTCCCCTCTGCTTCCAACTTCAAGACATTATGAATCTCAATTTCCAAGTTCCAGTATGTACCATAATTAGTTATATCATTGTAATGATGTATCCCAATTTCGGCTTTGTTCAACTTATTTAGGTGCTTCTTTGTGAATGGATGTGTCTAAAAATTGCAGGAATTGAAGATGGTGTATGCAGCACAGGTTGGTTTACACCAGGCTGACTTCATGTTAACTTTTAGTGCCTCACCTTAAGTCTTTTATGTGCTCTAGGGCTTTAGCTCTTTATAGAAGTTTATGTTGGCCAATTCTTTGACTACTTTCTTGCTTGTAATTTCAGCTGATGAAGATGTTGAATTTTCTTTTCCTCATGAAAGATTCAGATTTGGACTCATTCCAGCAGGCTCGACTGATGCTATTGTGATTTGGTAATCTTCGGGGAATTGTTACATTTCATAATGTAATTCTTTTTTTTTGTAGAAAATAATCTCTTTGTTTATTTTCTTTGCCTTTTTCCTATCTGTTTTCCCCTTCACTTTCTTTCTTCTTATTGAAAATGGGGTGGTTGGGGGGTTATGTGATTCTTTGTAGTGGGGAACACCTAGGATTGCTTTCAGGGGAGTAAACCAACAAGCCTGATATTCCTTTACCTTTTCTCCGATTTTGACCGTGTTGGTCAAGGTTATGACAGTGTAGTTTAAGTGTACCTTTCTATCTTAATCTCCTTTGATTTGCTCTAGATACAATTTTCATCCAAGCCAAGTCAATATGATCTCTAAATGTTTATTTCTGCTCTCAGTAAGTTGATTAATTGTCAGTCGATGACGCATGATGGTGCTAGTCCGTACTGTTGGTCCCTTTTAAATCACAGGCTTTGCAGATCGCCTTATCTATTTTGTCATTTCTGTGTGTCTTTTGTTGTGCTTGATTTATCTGAGGATGGAAAACATGTACAACATTATGTATGCTCCATGAATACTGATACTAACTTCACATATTCCCCTTACAATTTTTTTGGATAATGTGTAACTTGGTGCCCTTTGCAAGCTTCTAATTGTTCATTCATATCTGAATGTTTATGTCCACTTTTTTCCTTAAGAGTTATGATATGATTGAAACTTTGTGCTTCACTCTTGTATGCAGTACAACAGGAGTGAGAGATCCCATAACATCAGCATTACACATTGTCCTTGGGAAAAGGATTGGTCTTGATATAGCTCAAGTTGTTAAGTGGAAAACAACCATAAAGTCAGACATTGAACCCTCTGTACATTACACAGCCTCTTTTGTTGGGTAATTTACAAATGCTTATATGCTTTCAGATTTCTTTTCTTAAAGTCCCTGATTATTTTCCTGGCCTTTATATAAGATTTCCAGCATGTTGTGTCCTAGGTATTATGCATTTGTTCTTGTTTTATTGGGTTGTGGAAGAATCGGAATGGCTAGGTAGAGGCTTTATCTGTATATATTGTTCAGATCTTCTTTATATGTTGATGGCACTTTACTGAAGGACTGAAAAATTAAGTTTTGCATTCTTGTACAATCTTACACTCTCCATCCGTCTAAGACGTGTTTTCTTATAATCTTATACTGCACCAATTTTGTCTGCATGCCATATCAGTACTTCACATGCATGTAACTAAATTAGTTATAAAGAGAAAGTTTTCCAGCTGTTCGCTTGTTCATATGTTGCTCTGGTGAAGATTCTTTCTCTGATCAGTGAGCACCTTCTTGGCTTACTCTGATTCGAGATCTTAGGAGCTAGATCTTGTTTATATATAAACCGGCTATCATTCAAATTTTGATGCTTTGTATGTTGTGCATGGGAACCTTGCCTAGTCGTGGTCAATCATGGTAAATTATGAGAGTTCAGATGAGAAAACACTCGGGAGACTGCTCACCTGTTGCCAATCAAGGAGACTTAAGGAAATTTATGGGAAGTAATAGGTAGTTCTGTTCAATCACCTTATTTTCAACCTATCGTCCAGATCAAGGCACCTAATCCCTATCTGTTGAATCATTTACGTTTGAAGAACAGAGACTGAAGGTTTTAGAAACCTCGCTGAAAACACATTTCTTGCCATTTTGCATACTCCTTAATTTATTGTAAATTATACTGCTTAATAAATTGCTTCAAAGCAACCATTACAGGGTTAGTTAGACCTTGTTAAGCTAAGAGACTTTTCTGAATTTATACTACAAGAATAAAATTCATACCGAATAACTGAACCAACCACCCTGCATTGATGTAGGATTTTCACTTTTCTTAAATTGTCTCATCTATTACTATTATTATCATTTTCGGCTGTCTATTGTGAAAGCATTTGTTATAACCTGTGGATGTGTATTGTGATGCACCGTGACCTCATAGCCTTGGCCTTAGTTTCTTTTATGCTTTTGTGAGAGTGAAGTTTATTGTATACTTCAATTCTTCATCCTTCTTGTTGAACTAATATTAGCTAGAAAAATGTTGTAAAAAAAGAGAAGTTTCTTGGTATTCCTTCTTTATGCTATTTGACATTTTTTATGCAATTAAAGTATTTTTTAATGACAAAACGCTAAAAGCCTTGCAGTTATGGATTTTATGGAGATGTCATTACAGAGAGTGAGAAATATCGCTGGATGGGTCCAAAACGTTATGACTTTGCAGGGACAAAAGTTTTTCTCAAACACAGGTAGCTATCTTAGTTGTTTCAGTATAGCATGCATGCCCCCAGTGGACTGATTGTAAATTTTATAATGCGGTCTAAAACACTGGTTCTGCGTCGACTATACACTGGTTTAGCCTCACCGAGTATGAAATTAGGGCTTCCTATGAGCGGAGTTAAGCCAAACAAAAATCATATATGAGCAGGCTTGATTCTGTGGTCCCAATTTCAAGCTTGATAAAAGCCAAGCAGTTAGCCTGCCTCAGCATTTTATTTTAGATTTCAATTGTTTTTTTTTTCCCTTAAAATTCCCTTCTTAATTTCAATAAATCTCCACTCATTTTATTTCAAATTGATTCTCTTCATCTCTTGTGTGTTAGACGCATTGGCATAATCATATTTTTCTTGTAGTTGTTTCCTCCCTTTAGTTTAGTTTATGTTAATATACTCCTAAATATTGTTGGCGCTGCAAATATATTGTCAACCTGTCTATTTTAGTTTGTTTATTTGGTCAATATGTGCAAATCTAACCAATCAACTACTCCGAATTTATTTTCACTACACTACGATTTTATTGGTTAGTTTTAACTCATTAATTAGACTTGTTAATATTTGTTAAAAACCAAATATGGAAAATGTCCATAGGATGGGAGAATCTATTATCCTCCCATGCCACGAAGTAATTTGTTTCTATTGATATTTATATATATATATATATATATATATATATATATATATATATATATATATATATATATATATATATATATATATATATATATATATATATATATATATATATTCACAAGATTTCTATTGATTTTTTTTTTTATTTCATATATTTTTATTTAATCCTCTTAAAGGTCAAATGAATTAGCAACCCCATAAAGTAACTCATAATTTTTTAATGGAAAAGAAATGGCAAAATATGGTTGAATAGGCCTATGAGCTTTAAATTTTAACAACTTGTTTAAATAATTGCCAAGCCAAGCTTTTGACAGAGCTGAGCTAGAACAACTAGTGAGCATTTTGGCTTGCTGCCTTTTCTAATGAATGTTGTCATATAGTATGATATCTTGGATTTAACCACAAAAACAAGTATACAAAACATGAATTGTAAGGATAAATAAAAAAAAAAAAAAAAAAGTCTGGGTTCAATCCCTCTGCATGCTTGATAATTGATATAGCTTTTCACACTATCCTGCATTCTCGTTGATTTATTGATTATTTTTTAGGTCATATGAGGCTGAACTATCATACTTGGATGTCAAGTCTGAGAATACAGATCCAGATTCCAAAGATGATTTGATTGGGGGCGTGGAGTCATGCCAGGGCCTTAAGAGAAAATGTGAGCGAATAATTTGCAGAGCTAATTGCAAAGTCTGCAACACACCATACACGGGCATGATGAAATCAAAATGGTTGAAAACTAGAGGAAATTTCCTTAGCGTAGGTGCTGCTGTCATGTCTTGTCGAAATGAAAGAGCTCCTGATGGTTTAGTGGCTGATGCACACCTTACAGATGGTCTCCTGCATCTTATCTTGGTGAAAAATTGCTCGCATGCACTATATTTGTGGTAAGTTTGGGTCTCTTTTCTTGGCATGATTTTTTTTTTTTTTTTTTCGTGGGAATAAGCCATATGGGCAGTAGAAATTACAAATGGGGTGGTGGCATTTACACAATCCCTCAATCTTAACCACTAGGTCAAGCCCTCATTGGTACTGAAATTTTGTTTTGCAAATGACCATTTAGTGTACAACGGTCTAATCATTCTGGATTCTTTAGGTGATAGATCCTACAAAAAAATATCTGAGCAGGTCATCAGCTGTTAATGTATGTTGATATAGTCTGTATAAATTGTAGTATCAGTATCATAGGCAGAAAATCATCCCTATAATTCACAGATGCATCCCTAAGAGCTTAAGTTTTATTGAACACCCTTAAGCAACTATTAGACATTTGTTTTCCGCGAGCTGACAATTTGAATGGCGAGATCCTACAATCTCATAAATTGTAATAATCATGCATTTAGGTGGAGGGAGCATGTGAACTATATAAAGTGTAACTGTGTAAACTATTAGCCTTATGCCCTTGTTAGGTCTTATTTTAAACGCAAATTTTATCTGGTTCTTTGTAATATCTGCCTCAGAGGTTGGTTTCCTGACTAATCAGCTCATTTGGGGGGAATGATGTTTCTGCAATTTCTGAATTGAAAGTTCGAAGTTGAATACTGAATATTGAAAAGTTGCCACATGATTAAAATTATGTATTGATGCTGTTGCATGATCTTTGCAGGCACCTAACCCATCTAGCTAAAAAGGGTGGATCTCCCCTTGATTTCAAGTTTGTAGAACATTACAAGGTATTGTGCTCTGAATCTTTCATAATTTCCAGTTTCTTCTTATTCTCAAATGGATGCCTTCCTTATCAGTTTTTTTTTTTTTGTTTTTTGTTTTTTGTTTTTTTGTTTTTTGTTTTTTTTTTTTACAGACTCCTGCATTTGCTTTTACATCTTATGGCAAAGAGGGTGTTTGGAATTTGGATGGCGAGATCCTACGAGCTCATAAACTGTCAGCTCAGGTTTTCCGCGGTCTTATCAGCTTATTTGCGAATGGCCCTGAAGTGTAACTGAATACTGTACACTGTAAAGTTGTGACCATATTCTGTTATATACCAATATTAGAACACTTTAGTTGATAAAAGATGCACAGGTAGCAATTTGTGCTGAAATTTTGCCTGAAAATAAATCTCAGTTTTCACTTTGAGATAAATCTGTAATTCCAAGTTTCTGATTGGGCACAGTGCTTCAGGATTCTCATCAATAAGCTCTAAAGTTGTCAAAATTCAAAGTCGATTGTCTTGTACTCTTATTGTCTATTATTGTACCAAATCTCATTATGCGTGACACAAAGGTTATGGGTTCAGATCTCATCCACCTCCCTCCCCCCCCCCTCCAAAAAAAAAAACCACTTTCAAGTGGATTATTAAGCGATGGGTATGAAAAGACCTATGTTAAAGGACCATTTTAGCCATCAACTTAAGCTTTAGGTTGAAGTCCACGAATATGCTTTATATACTCTATCAGCATTTGACCATTAAGAAATTATAATTAAATTGCACTCCTTACATGATTATGAATTTATTAAATGGTTGTTAATGTACATGATGTAACTTAATTAGTAGGCGTTTATTTGTCCGTGCCCTTAAACATACTTACATAATTTTATACCAGTATATTACTATAGCTGATTACAATCTCATATGGTTCTACTAGTAGTATAATAGTAAAGTATTGAGTTTGTAACTTGTACTTTTCTTTTCATATTGTAAGCATCTATCAGCTGAATGGTGCTTAATCATTGAATAAACATTTCTTAATCATGAATATATATTAATTAAGCTCAAGTAGAGAACTTTCAAACTAAATATAAAAATAAAAAGAAAAGTGAAGTAGACAGGATAAAATTAGAATATTCCAATATTTTTTTGATGACATTTTATTTGGGTTGCATGTTGGCATAATATTGTGATTAAACGTACTTTCTATGCTAATATATACTTTAGCTTATGTTGTCACTAAACGTGCTAGCACTAATGATAGTCATTTTGTCAAACAAATCGTTGTCTTTGATTAATTATAATTCTTCAGAAAATGCTACTCATCCATATTTGACATAAACTTTGTAATGTATTTATTTAATTCTTTCTAATGTCATTTTCAGTGTTTGTAGTTTCTATAGTTTCTCAATTTTATATTATTTGACCACTTCCTTAATTTTTTTTTTATCCATCGCATATTAATGTGTTTTGTTAATACTTAATAACAACAACTGTTATTTATACTACAAACTAGTCATTTTTAAAACCAATACAATAGCTAACAAATTCTAATGATTTGTGTCCTTAAAAAAGCCAACTAAGCTACTTTGTAATAGAATGAGCAAAGATTATACAAAAATTGTTATATACATCCGGATGCACGGTGCATCCAAGTTTTTTTATTTTTTATTCTTTTTAAGCTTATTTTGATAATTAAAGATCGATGATTATTTCTCATTTAATCATCAAATGAGCAAAAACTAATTTTGAGTGCATCTTTTACTAGGATGTAAATAAAAGTTTTCAAAGATCATACTTCGTATTGTGGGTACGTAGGAGTATAATTTTTTTCAATTACATACATCTATCTAATTATATTGACATGCATTTTAGGTCAATTACCAGGGAATTGCTAGCAGCAAATTAGAGTAGTAATGAATGAACAATTACTCTAGAGGTTTTATACACCTTGGCTAATTTTTTTAAAAAATTCTCCATCCGTTACATATTACTCGCAACAAAGGAATATTATATGTCTCATAAATAATACCCCTTTAGTGCGAGTAATTCATAACGGAGGAAGTATAAGTTTATAATGAATAAATGAACGTGCCAATTTGTTTTTCCTTATATAATGCTGTAATACAAGAGTGCTAACCTTTAATCTTTAACCAGGTATCTTTGACAGTTCAACTAAGAAACTGTCAGAAAATTATAGCTGAAAATATGGAGGGAAATAGGGGGAAAAAATTAGTAAATATCAAAGAAAAGTCAGATCAGATGACCACTGGAGTAAATTCTCTAATAATAATGAAATGGTCATACTTCTCTTATACATAGTGTTAAGTTATGAATAATGGTAGTTTTCAAATTATCCTGCATGGTTCTGAGTTTGGGTTTCAGTAGCTAGTTTGAGTCAAACTTGTCCCTCATACTACATCATTAATATTAATATTGGGACGGATCAGATGACAATTCTTTAGAACGGAGGGAGTAATGCATAACGAACTAGCTCTCTAATACTTAAGTCAACAATTTGATCGACATAACTTGTTTGTAGTTAAAGGTTGGAATTCAGTATAAGGTGTGTTCTCGTAAGCAAAAAAAAAAAAAAAAGTTTCTTACCCAAAAATTGTATTATAAGGGTTTTTGGCAAAATTTTCCAATATATTAAGGTAAAATGAGATTTTTAGGTCGAGACAAGATTTATTAGTAGAATAAGACTTTTATTTTAAGACGGAGGGTGTAACTACTTTAATTTATTTTTAGGTTATTATTATTGTTACAACATAGTTTAATATTTTACGATATGGTGTTATTAATCAAAATCTGAACACGTAACCTAGTTTGCTAAGACAATTATTAGAAGGTTATTAATTACCAGTCAAAGTATTTGAGGACCACTTCATATCATGCAAGAGGTTACATTGCTCCCAAAAACTATTAAAAAAAAAAAACTATTGTTGGAATAAACAATTTTTTTTTAACAAACAAAAGGGTCATACACTTGTACATTAATTATTTTTAGTAATCAATTTACTTAACTAGTCTCTCTCCTTTTAGCTTAAGCTTTTTTTTAATTAATAATATATTAATATGCACTTGGAATGTTATATTATTTTTTTTTTAAAAAAAATGATGGCCTGAAAAAAAACTGAATGTGTTAAACTGCTCATTGTTCGTTAAGATTGTCTAATCTGCTAATTAGTAATCACAATCAAAGAATCTAACTTAATTTTTTATTTCATCCATATAATACATACCATATATTTCAGAGTGAAAACTTTAGTGAAATTCCGGTAGAGTTAGGTCGTATTTTAGATGAGGATACTAGAGGTGTGGCATTTCCACGATTTGTCCCTCTGTAGGTAGTATTTTTAAGGTGGTTTAGTTTTTTATTATTTGGTTATTTTGTTCCTCTGTTCTGGTTGGAATTAATTTCCTCTTTTGAATCAAAAAAAAAAAAACATACCATTATTTCATATTTTCATACTCAAGTAGCATCTCAAACTAACTATTAACAACCAAAAAAGACCTTATTAACCGCCCAATATATGGGTTGTGCTTTTCCATCTATATATATGATCTCAAATATGTCTCAGTGTATGTCCATCATGTATAATTAAATGATTAAACGTTATTTAGTAATGCACCTGTCTCACACTCATTACTGCTTTACTAATCTTATAAATGATGACTAACTACTAAATTGTAATCCTAATCCATATTTATTCATTTTTTTTTTTAAAAAAAAAAAGAATTAATATTCATAGTATGTAGTAAGGCAACTCTCCGACAAACTCAGGCATAGTGATGTTAGAGAAGTCCTTGACTTTTAATTAATTACCATTTTAATACCATTAATTTTTATCCATTTCAAAGAAATAAATAAAATTAAAATCTAGTTTATAACTAGTTGTGGCATGGAAACTAGGCAGTTAGTCACTAAATTAAAATTCCGTTAGACTAGTCGTTATCCGTTATAATATTCCCGCCAAAAATAATAAAATATTTTTAAAATGAAACAGTCAACTGTCCCCTGTTTACATTAGCATTCAACCATTAAATTAATTCATAAAAATTCATGGCATTTTTAAGAACGACGTGCTAAGATTTTTTCCTAAATACGTCATTAATGTCGTCATTATTCTTCCTTACTTAATAGTTTTATTCTTCAGCATTTCAGAATCTTCGTTTTTTTGGGGGGATTTTTTGAAGAATTCTCTCATTTCTCAAAACAGAGGAGAGTGAGAGTTTTATTTTATTTTTATATTGCTAATGTTTGATCATATAATTATTTTTCAATCTTCTTGTACTTTTTAATTTTAATATTGAGAGAGGAATTTCTCCAATTTTGATCAGGTTTGTAATTTTCTTCATGATTTCTTCAATTTATGGGTTTAGAATTGAAAATTGATATCTGGGTTTGCTGTATTAATCATGGGTTTTATTTAATTTTGTTGAATTTGTAATACCCATTTGCATTTTACCAAATTTTGAGTGAATTTATATGTTGTGCATTTGAAAGCTGAATTTTACTGGGTTTTTGGTGATTCCACTTGTTTCCAAATCACCAATGTAATTTGGTTAATCAGAAATCTTGTAATTATAATTACCATTGATTGATTCATGCTCATATTTTGGGTGCAATCCATGCTTTTGTTAGCTTCAATGTCGCGGTATATAATTTGCACATTAAATGTTTGTTGAATTGCCTGAGTGATAAAATGTTAGATTTTGAGCTATCATGCAAGCTATAAGTTAACACGATTATATAACAAATATGCAGTATTTGACATATAATGTGAACCCAAATACTCTATACATGAATTTAGCTGAAATATTTTGGTTGCTTGCAGGGTTTTTGTTAGGTAAATTAGGCTCAAATAGAGCACATAAATATGGATAAAGGAAAAGGATCGTCTGGTTCACGTGTGATTGCGATAGCCTTGAATGGGGGTGCTAAAAGCAAGTATATAGTACGATGGGCAATCGAGAAATTTATACCTGAAGGAAATGTTGCATTCAAGTTGTTCCATGTATTCCCTAAGATAACTGGTGTACCTACACCAAGTAAGTTTAACATCATCATTCCTTCCATTTTGAAATTAGTTATTGAGACAGAAATTTGGATGAAACTAAATGAATTATGTATGCATTTTTACACTGATGATCTCATATAGACTTTTTTCTTGACTGGTTTATTGCTACTAGTGGGGAATTTGATCCCTCTTCCACAAGTGCGAGATGATGTAGCAGTCGCTTATAAAAAGGAAATAGAGTGGCAAAGAACGGAGATGATTATGCCTTTCCAAAGGTTGCTCAATTCTAAAAAGGTTTGCACAAAATTTCAATGGAATTTCATCCTGAAGTTATAAGATAGATGAACATATGTCTAATTTTCCCCTTGCTTTATATAGGTTCAAGCTGAACTTGTCTTGATTGAATCAGAAGATGTTGCAATTGGAATAGCAACGGAGATTACTCGACATGGAATAAAGGAACTTGTCATAGGGGCATCTTCTAATGG